TAGATAGACTGGGTATTTACAAACGAAGAATTTCTAGTTGAAAACCTCTCAATCCTGACTCTCCTGGGAAAAAGCGATCACGTCGTTATAGCCTTCAGTTTTATCAGCAAAATTGAGCTAAGATATCCCACCAACAACTTGCGCTGGAATTTTAAATTGTTGAATGTGTCAGCTCTACAGGACTATCTACAACAGGTGGATTGGGACGTTCACCCTCAACTCAATGTGGATGCTCAGTGAGACTTCTTACTACACACGCTCTTATGTGCTACAAACCATTCAGTTTCTCAAACGGTCCCCAAAATCTGCAAGCAACCTACAATCATCAAGAACCGCACTCTTCGCCTGCTAAGCCGCAAAAGGCACTGTTCGGCAGTATACGAACGAACTGACAACAACGGAGCGTACAGGCAAAACAAACATATAAGGAACATATGCACAAAGGCTATAAGAGATGACAGGCTTCAGTACCAGACAAAGCTTATGGATAAATTTGCCTCTAATCCTAAAAGCTTATTCTGTTATGCAGCCTCTCTTCGTCAAGCCAAAAGTGGAGTTTCCCAACTGCTAGGTCTTAACAACCCGAACAACGACGGCGACGCCGCTAACCTTTTGGCTGAACAATACTCTTGGACATTTCAACCGATCAACATCAACTATACTGATGACAGTTTCATCTGCAACTTCAAAGGACTTTCCGAAGTGAACCTGGGCGCTGACTTGGTATTCCGGAAACTGCAGCACTTAAGAATTGACACTTCTCCTGACCCAGATATGGTTTATTCTGCTATACTGAGGGAAGCAGCCTCAATACTGGTAACCTCGCTTAGCCGAGGCAAACTACCGGACAATTGGAAGCTAGCTCACATCACACCGATTTTCAAAGGAGGTCGACGCAATGAACCTTCAAATTACCGACCGGCGACTCTTCTTTCTATACCTCCGACAATCATGGAGTCCCTGATATGCGATAGTATAAATGGTATTTACTGTCCTTAAATTTCTTCTCACCCCAACAGCACGGTCTCAGGAAGGGTTACTCTTGTATAACAAACCTGCTGACTGTGGTGGACAGATGGACAAGCATCCTTGATCACAAGGGGAAGGGTGATATCATTTACCTTGATTTCTCAAAAGCTATTGATAGGGTTACCCATGTACGCCTTATCAATAAGTTCGAACGATTGTGTATCATACCACCTCTGATTGATTGGCTCATTTCATACCTGAAAAATCGACATTTTAAGGTCAGGGTTAATTTCAATTTATCTCAGGCTATGAAATGTGATAGTGGGATCCCCCAGGGCTCAGCACTGGGACCTCTTCTCTTCTTGATCTACATAAATGGTCTTCCTCAACAGGTATCGTCAGACTTGTTAATTTTCGCTGATGATGTGAAACTTTGGAGAGATACGCAACCGGGACGATGTACAGGCAGTTCAAGAGGATCTGACTCGACTTCAAAGTTGGGCAGACGATAACGGACTTACCATTAACACTTCGAAGTGTAAAGTAGTTCATCTGTGACATGTTGCAGACTACAGTTTCAACTTAGGAAACTCCTCTCTAGTAGTATCCCAAGTCGAAAAAGATTTGGGAATCCTGGTAAACTACGATTTCAAGTCTTACGCTGTGATAAAACTGCCTTCGGAGCAAACCTTGCACTGGTAACATTGAAGCGCATTTTGGGCCAGTTTGATGGAAGAACTTTCCACATAGTCTTTAACAGTTTTATTCGTCCCCATTTAGATTACGGAAACAGTATTTCCTCCCTCACCCCAAAAGATAGGGACACTCCGGAGCGTATCCAACGGGGAGCCACGAAATCAGTTCAAGGACTCAAATTCAAACCTCATGAAGAGTGCCTCAAATCACTTAACGTATACCCATTAAAGTATAGGCGTCTTAGAGGTGACATTCCGATAGCTTACATTATTCTTAGCACTTCTGGATATCCTCTTAAACACCAACTTAAACTTAGTCTCAATACAAACATAAGGGGACCCACAACACAACAGAACGGAATGTAGATACAACTTTTACTCCTTAAGAGATGTCAAATGCTGGAATTCGCTGCCAAATGAACTAGTCCAAGCGACTTCGCAGGAGTCCTTTAAGAGGAAACTTTACGTATTCTTAAGGACTAAAGTTAACATCTTATTATGAGTTACTGATTTGTTTTTTTTCTAATATATTATAGTTAATATAACTAGGTTCTTGCCTGGAGGTATTGAGGATCCCCTGCTACTAGACATGGAAGCCTGTTAACTTAAGGCTTCTTCTATTCCATCCAAACCATTTGAACCATCTCGAGAACACCTTGACCAGTAACACCTTTTATAATCGAAACGTGCCAACCTGGTGAAATCAAATGCAAGGAGGTTCGAAGATATATATGATAGAATATCGATATATCGAGAAGTGACTAATCTAAACTGGCTAGTGGTCGTAGATGTAAAGCACAGCGTTCTCACTCATGATCTGGTGCGGATGCGTGACTTCAGCTAGGTGAGTCCATCCAAATTAATTTGGCCAGTATCAAACGTCGAAGACTTACAGAGTTATTGATTCCAGGGATTTATTTACTACTACAAAGATAACTGTCCTCTTGACAAATGTGAGGAAAAATGAAAAACACAAAGGTCGTAATAATAACTGAATAATAATCATGAAAAACTATTAAAGGATAATAGTAACTGATTGCGGTGTAAAATTACAAAACACTGATTTAGAAAAATTAACTAAAACATACTACAAAAATGGAATTGGGGTCAAAGAAGGATGAGAGGTTGGTCTTATTGTATTTGCACGCAGATTTCAGGCTTCAGTTGGTGAAATGCCAATACCTCAGCAGTGCATAAGTTTTTGATTCGACCTCCCTTCGATTTAATTCCTTTGAATGTGTAGATTATTTTAGAAAGACTATTCTGGAGCATTTAGTCAACTATGGACAAATCATGTCCATCACACTGTAATATTCAAAGCGCTTTCATTCATTATTTCCTTGATATGGTGAGTGAGCGCTGCATATCAGGGTGTAACTCTTACCGAGGATCAAATCTAATCATCCAGCATTTTGAGCTGTGTTACATAGACTGTCCATAGCGGTTACCTAGAGCCTGAATCAATGGGTCGACCGCTTCTAGGAATAAACAAAGTCCACGAAGTTCGAGTGGTCGTTCTTTTGCGAAGTAGCTACTACATTCTTGACAAAAATTTATCAAATAGCTGTCGTACGTAACTTTTACATTTTTCTAATTGTAAGCTATCGTTTCTACTCAGTAACTGTTCTCTTGTCATTTTCCGCTCTTAAATTAGTATGTTACTTAGCTATGTATCGAAAATACCCTTGCCATGTACCTATTGAAACTTATCATTTATGACACTATCCAGTAGTCTACTTAATAAATAGCGTTATTCGAGTTTAACGAAAATAATTGTGAGGTCTCATCCAACATCCTGATAACAGATTCGTAAGCACGGGATTGACTGATAAATCGCGTGAAAACTACAGTGACAGAATTTGCTCGATCTATGATATCCTAGGCATGAGCGGAAATGCAAAAAAAGCGAATTGGACAACTTCCAGTTGACATTTAACTGGTAATTTCTAGTCATTTGTTATGAACAGACAAATCCTACACAAAAACATACACATCACAACCATGGTGTACGATTAACCGATTCGCGTTGAATGTGCTTGACAGGGATTGATGATCTTTTCGATATTAGGTGACTCAACTGCCGGATGATTTGAATAGAGATCAGCGACATTTCACTGTCCCCACGAATGTAATTTAAGCTAGATGAGCACTAATGAACGTGTTATATTCGGAATTCGTAATTATCTGGCACAGGAATATTCAGTTAGTACAAATTCTACATAAACAAATATCAGATGCTAAAACATATTTGAGAACTTTAAGTACTGTGTTTAATTTACCTTTAGTTCCTGTATATGACTAGAGAAACAATTTGAGTTCTAGACAAAAGCATACACATCACAACCATACTTATCTATTGGAATTACAAAGACTTGTAGTGAGGCCCAAGTATTAGAGACTCACTGTAAAACATATCAATCAAATTAGTTCTAAGATTACGTGACAACAATTTCCGATGGCGAAATATCAGAAAGGCTACCACCAAACAAACGAAAATTGGATCCTTCACTCATATTACTTACTTATCCCTTCTGTTGCACCACATTCTACTTATTATCAAAATTGGGGTTTGTGGAGATTATAGTAATTTTATCAGTTGAATTCTAAGCTAGGCCACCGCTGAAAATATGGAAGCATCTATGTTTGGACACAACCATTTGCTCTAACAAAACTTCATGGGTAAACTCAAGTAGGATAACCAGAACTTCGTCACCGAAATGGACTAAGTTCTACAAATATTCTTCATATTTTTCAAAGTAGTCAGTAAGTAATCGTTATTCTCCCATATTAATTTCTGACATTAAATGTTTGCATGGTGAGTGTCCCATAAACTCGCTGTAGATTTTTCAACGTGAAAGTTAGAAATAGTACGAGATACGGCTTTATAAACAATGGATACTTACTTTACAGATCGTAACGTACAAGTCATTTTAAAATTCACGATTAGTTGTATCACAAAACAGTATTATTGTGCTCCTTTTATTTCGGAAACTAATAACATGTAGCTGTTATAACTGGGTATTCGCATAAGAGGCATGTATATTCTTCTGTGACTAAACCTGTTGTTAATGCATAGAAATGTAAATTTAAATAGACAATAAGTTTTCATATACATCAAACTAACCTTTCTTATTCCAGTAGCACTTATTAATATAGCTTAACTTTCGCTAACTAAAAGAACACTACTTTGAAGTGATTCAGTGAAATGTTGCTGTTTATTTACGTACTCATTTTCTAAACAAAACTGTACAAAATGAATAACTTGTTCGGAAACTGACTTTCCACCCTGCTACCAGCTGGTCGATATATTTTTGAATTACAGAAAAGTGGTCATTTGAATACTGTAAATTTTTATTACCTACCTTTATCATAAAACATATAAGCAAAATTGAATTCACTGAACATTAGAATAGCAAATGGTATACTTTTGCAGGAACTGTACAATTTAGTAGTATTTAGGTCGAATAAATGCGTACAATATGACAGGCGATTCCGGAAAATAAGAAGAGAGAATACATATAGTTAGATGTCAAACAAACAATGAACACAGGATATCATAAACATGACATTCATATGAATCACGGGGGATTATTTGTATAAAAGAAGACAGGGACAAAGACATTTACAAAAATTATTAAGAGTAAACAATGTGACAGAAACCCAGTTAATTAGCAGCTCGCTCCGGTTCTATTAGACCGTTGGCTTTTTTAGATAAATCAACCTCCATTTTTTCTACAAAATCGCTTTTGGACTCCGAACGCTGAAACGAAAAATTATTAAATGATTGATAAAGTTAAAACGAGCGAGAGTTAAGCCAAATGTTCAAATCTCAATTCTAATGATAGATTTAACCTCTAAACTCGTATTCTATGGTAGTTTATGATTTAAATGACTAATAATCATGTATGAATACAAGTATTCGATTTTATCGTAAAGATTAATTTTATTAAAATGAATATCCATAACCAAAAGGAAATGAGTCTTTATCACCACATACAAATAAGTCAGTGACGAGAATCACTATTATTTATGATATGACCAAGTACTATGTGGTTTCTGGGCAAATCAGAGATACGAGCTTGTTGAAACAGATTACTATCTCCTAATGACTTACTAATGGGAATTTTCGATCCTGTAAAAAGTTAGTTTAATACAATTCCTCCCATTTATAAATTTGAATAAGGCAAGAAAAATTAATGTAACAGAATAACATGAATCCACCATATTTCGCGATTTCTAGTCAGCTGCTTACAGCCTACACATAATAGTACTAATCATTAAAAATCCGTGTACACGCTTTATATCGTAGTATCAGAAGTGTTATCAACAACAAGGATTAATGAAAAAAGCAATAACTATTGAAGAACTATAAGTGTTCATATGTTAAATAATGTGAATATAAAAATATTCTTGTATGAATGACTGAAAATATAGAAACAAAATTATTTAGAAATAAGATATTAATGCTATAGGTATGTAACCCTTAAAACGAAATTGACTGAGTACAGATCAGATAATAAGTTAGTATTAATAATTAGTGTCATGAAAAAAATTGCATAATAAACATTTGTGAATGAGTTCACAAACGCAGACCAAGATTGGTAACTGAATAATTTTAGATACACAAATTTGGTTTGTCTCTTAATGGTAACTGCTTCGCCAAACAGTAGTCAATTCAACGATTAGGACAATTAATGAACAAAGGACATTGAATTACCACGGTTTGCTGAAAGCAATTGTCATAAAGAATTATTTAGTAGTTCAGTTGGATAGTGTTGTAGATATTTAGTTAGCAATGGAAATGGATAGACGGTTACCTAAAAGCGAGGACAAGATCACATGAACCTAAAACCGAACAGAAGTGTTAAGTGCCATTCTATCAGATCTCTCACTAATCAATTGTGTATAAGAATGAGAAAAAAACACAACTCTCATTGATGTGAATTCCAAGAGAATGCATAATTTAAATGAATCGTTTGAGCATGATGACCACAACAAAATCTGCATGTTGTAAAATGACCAAGCAAACAATGCAAATCAAATGATCAGTTTATGAAATATTATTGACTTATTTTGTAGGACACAATAAGACAGAAGAAACGCTAGAATGACCAGTTATGGGAAATATAAACAGATTAAGAAGGATGAATAAAATCTCAGATTATTACTACTACAAACTCTCCAACATGAACTAATCAAGTCACTAAACAGATAACAGTTGCTGATCGATACAATATGGCTCTATTATTAGTAATTTGGTTGAACTGGAAATGTGGTCAACGAGATGAAAGTATCCAAGTGTGATCTCAGGAAGGTCTTCTAATTTTGTGCTAGAGATAACATATTGAGAACAGTATGAAACGATTATGAACAACTACATTTCAAAATGGGTACAGGAATATCGATCTTCACTACGCTACACAAACATCTTGAAAAATACAGAAGTATGAAACATGTGGGGATCAGTGCATTCATTAGTGTCAATCGTATTTATTGTTTAGTTCTAAACACTAGTGAGAGCGACATTCAACACATACTAACAAACTACATACCTAAAAAAGTAATTACTTGACACATTTCAATAGTACGATGATGACAGTTAACTAAAAAAGTGGTCTACAATAGAGGACATAACATCTAACTATCATAAGTAATCATAGAAATCAGTGATGACAAATTGATTTTACCTTGTCACTAGTAGAATCTGACTTTTTAGATCCACTTCCTTCTTTACTGTTTGATTTCGTGGTGGATGAACTGGCATCTTCATCCGTGCGTGCGCGTTTTGGTTGGTCTCGGTGATTTTGAACATCTCGTGAAGCTGATTTGCCTGATCGAAGTGTGGTGCCTCCAAGCCCAGAACCTTCTTCTGGATCGTCGAAAAACTCATTATTGGGCATGATGGCTTTATCCGCAGCCATTATTGAAATCCTCTTGTCTGGATCAGCTAAATCTTTTGCAACAGCATCATTTTCGTCAAAATCGACAATGTCATCAGGAATATCTAACGGTCAAGTTACATAATACGATAACTGAGTGCTGAATATTATTTTAAAATGTAGACAAACATTAAATACTGACACCGAGCATATTTCTGCTCCCAAAATACTGGTACAAAAATGACTTAATCTAGTGAATAAATCTATCTTAAAGGAACTGAATATTTCATGAAGGTGAAAAATATGGTTTAGCGAAAATCTCATAAAGTTCCGAACACGATGACGTGCGAAAGCAAATCAAATCTAGATTAACCAAAAGTCTAAGGACCGATCGTAAGCAGTGGTGGGCAAAGAAAGCAAGAGATGGAAAAGGCAACGGCTGTAGGTAACATAAGACGGCTTTTCAGACTAATAAAAGAAACTGGAATTAAGAGTCAGTCAGTCAGCTACAACGTAAGTCCACATGTTTAGAAAGATAGGTGGGACACTTTAAGGAGCACTTCATCTACTTTACAGCCACCCACTATTTCCAAGAAGCCTGATTAGAACATAAAAATAGGTCCCCAAACTCTAATTGAAGTTTAAAAAGCTATAGCTGATCTGAAACGAGGAAGAAGAGCTGGTCCAGATGGATTAACTCCAGAGGTCTTTACGAATGGTGGTCTAGTTTTAGCGATTAGATTGACAAATATTTAAGCTAATATATATATATATATATATATATATATATATATATATATATATATATATATATATATATATATATATATATATAGTTATTATTGTAAACCTTTGTCATTCCAATCATTTACACTCATTTATGTCAATTGTTTCACACTATTCCTTATCTCAATGTAAAATTCTATTACATATTTGGTTGTAAGCGACTGACGAGAAACCTGGAAATATTATGAATTTATACAATTCTGCATCAATATTTGTTCTTGCTTTATTTAAATTCATAAAGGAAACTAATTACATGAAATTTTTGAAAAGACCAATAAGTGGTTCATACACCATCTATAAGTAATTGTGAGGTTAGATGTAGAGTATTAAGGGATGATAGTAAATTAGTTGATGAGGTTGTGAATCTTCACCGACTGAGATGGTTAAGGCGAGCATTATGCATGCCCAACAACCGATTACTTTGGCGCGCAATGCTGACTAATGTTGGAGACGGAAGAGTTAAGAGCGGTCAAATCAAAACGTGGCATCAGTCCATAAAGTCACTAACTTCTAGTATAAACCATGTCGTTAGATGCAAACTACTCGGTTGGGTCCTCGCAACTATCGTAACCATTGGTTGAAGAATCTGGGTGATATGGCTTGTTGTCTACCATAGAAACAACTGCTTTTATGAAATTGGTGTATGGCAACTTGGACCGATGCATATATGTGCCAGGTCCTACGTTGTAGCTGACCAGAAAAATACTTGCTATAAGGTTTCATCATATTTTATCGATTCGTTGTAGGGAAAAATTTCGCTCTCAGGCACCACACATAGGATATAATAAACTTAATGCCGCCACTACTGAACAAATAGTGTTTGACAACACAGTATATATACATATATATAGAAAGATCAAATGAGTTGTATCTATTCGCAGTTTTAAGGTGTGATGAAAAGTGATAGATCGGGGGGTTTCTTTACACTAACAGTTTAAAATCATATCCATAGCTGTTAGAGGTATGAGAGCGGTTATCACTTCCCGGTTGCCCACACCGTGGAAGGGTTCTTCTGGAGGTACCTGAAAAGGAAATTGGATTAGTGGCGGTCTCAGTGACCTGAGAGAGTGACCGCAGTGCCCAAGGGACAACTGCTTGAGGCCGGTCGCGCACGGCCTTTTCGTGGGAGGTTTTTGACATGTTAGCTCCGTTTTTCAAAAGGCCTTACCGCCGGAGACGGAAATCCGTGAGGTAAGGTGAGGTGTGCATTTTTAGGGTCGACCTTTTCTAACCCCACCCCTCCTTGTGGGAAGGCAGCATCGCTGTCATGCTGGTTGTCTGAAGGAAACACCTTACTGCTGTCACACCTTTGTACAGTCAGCAGTACGACTTCGCCTTCGGACCTTGGGTTTGTTGCTTTTAGTCTTACCGCTCTTCAACCGACCTGTCTGACATGGTAGGACCTTGAGGAACGGTTGTTCCAGCCAGTATAGCTCGGTTGCTTCATCACGATAGGCAAGCCCGACCACCACGTCAAGGTGTTCATCTTGCTGTGCTGATGCGGTATGGCAACCTGGACCGATGCACATATGTGCCTGGTCCTACGTTGTAGCTGACTGACTGATAGCAATTAATCTCAATACTGTAAACAGTAAGGGAAGACAATCAGTTGGATCTGACCAGTCAGATAAACAGGGTCATAACAAGGTAACTGTTGTTTTAACACTAGCACTACTTTGAACCCCTGATATGGGAAAAGATGTTAAAAGCTAACTAATCCGAAACGCTAGACATCCTGACCAGTTACTTTGAAGAATCAGTCCAATAATCCGATTTTAAATTAGTGAGGACTAAGTATTTCGGTACAGCTTGAAGGATAGGAAGGTACATCTAGTGAAAGCCGTATTTAGTAAATATTTACTAACAGTTAAACATAAGACGTACCTTGCATCTGAACACTAGGACAGTGGGGTATCATTCGCAGATTTTCAAATAGTTTCGTTTTTATATGCTCAAGATATTCATTAGTATTCTGATTAGCCATATTGCTCGGACTTATATGCAGCTTGAAGTCAGGGCCGAAATACTCATAATAATCATTGTAGGGTAAATCATTGGGGATCTCAGTTGCAAGAGCAATAGATGTTTCATTAGTCCAGCATCTAGCAACATTCCGGATTGTATAACCACCACCTGTGACAAGGAAATAACATGACCATAAAATAAAGTGACTAAAATATAAAATTACATTAATATATGCTCATGACAGAAGTAAAAAACATGACATGCATCTTGGGGATATTGAAATATACTGTTATTTTAGTTTTCGTTCAGTGGTAGTCAGTAACTATGTATGGTGAACAAATTATTACAGTTGCAGCCATGGAATTTAACTTGATATATATTTCGTAGTAAAATCATGAACACTAGAGAAAACAGCACAATGTACACAGAAACGCGAATAAATATGCGATTAAAGAAGCAATTAGATACAAACCTCCTACAAGAAGAAGCGGTAAAGGAAATGAGCGGATGAATTCAACGCATTTTCCGTGGCCTTTCAGACTAAGATTGAAACACCCAAGTCGATCACCACATAATGAGTCAGCACCACACTGTAAGACAACGGCCCCGGGTCGAAAAGTTTCCATAACCTAGACAGTGTTAAAAAAAATCAGTGAAACATACTTTCGTTACGACAGGCTTAAAAATACGCTCGTAGCAATCATCATCCATCCCATCTCTCAGTGGACAATTGACAGCGTAATATTTACCACGACCAGCACCAATATCTTTTAGATCACCAGTTCCAGGAAAATACTCGCCGTACTTGTGGAAGCTAACGGTCATTACTCTATCAGTAGTATAGAAAGCTTCCTGTTTGATTAAACGATCAAAATTTTACTTACTTCAACACCATCACCATGATGAATATCAATATCCACATAGAGAACTCTTTGGTGATATTTCAGAAGTTCTAAAATCCCTATTACAATATCATTGATATAGCAGAATCCTGACGCCTCAGATTTCTTTGCATGATGGAGACCGCCGCCCCAGTTAATGGCGATGTCAGTTTGCTGTTTGTTCAGTTTCACGGCTGCAGCAATAGAACCACCAGCTGATAACTGGCAAAATTCGAAAAGTCCATCAAAGACTGGACAATCTTCGCCAACATTGAAACGTTGCATTTGTTTATTAAATTCATGCATATTGTCTGGTCTTACATTCTTCAAGAATTTGACATATTCGTCACTATGGAATCTTGTCATATCTTCGCTGTATGCTTTAGATGGCCTATAAACTTCCATTTTTCTATATAAACCATAATTAAGAAGAAGATTGTGGGTCATCCTTATGCGATGCGGTTTCATGGGATGTCCTTGACCATAATAATAATTTCCAATATCACCTAAATGTGAAATTTTTTGGAAAGCATTATTCAGTTACATGACTGTCAGAAAGTCGATTAAAACAAGATAGCTTTTGAAAGCAAAACTAAATTCTGAACCGCGAAAAATCAAAGCTTTTTAAATAGTCCACAAGGAGCAAAATTTTGTATTTGAATGAATGTGGTTTAACGGTATAGTTACTTATCCAACTACAACAAGATCTCTGCTTCGTAATCAATCGACTTTTAGCAATAACAAAATAATGATTACAGTAGGGAATAAGCTCGAAAATTATCTTTGATTTGGCCTAGAAACCATCTTACCTACGTTACTACCGACATCTGTCATAAAGATTTAGTGACTATGGAAGGAAGTTTTCTTTCTCAGTGTCAGTAGCTGATGCAACTGAATGACCGAAGGCAAAGGATATGTAGGCGAGACTATAATTTGTGGACGAACCAATCACGTATAAGATAACAGGTCTTAGGTTTTGGCGCGGAATCCACTCATTTATTCGGGCAAATAGTTTTTGCATTATAGCTGATGTCTGTTCGTGATGAAAACCCTAAATCTAATTTCTATCTCTAATCAACTGTAAATCACAATTCTATTTCCTCACACAGGTTTATAACTCTTATTTGGTCCCGGTTATTAGGTGGACACTCTCAAGGTCAGTCTGGCGTCGCTCAAAGGTCGCCCATAAATTATAGTCTCACTGATATGTATTTGAACCTATTTTTTTAAGGAAAACAAGCCTCAGTAACATACCTGGAATCTTATCTCATTTCATGTTTAGATTGTGCTGTCCTGAATTAAATATAGCACACCTATTGTTAGCAGCTAATATTATCAAACATGAATATACCATGTGAAAAGTGTATAAAGCTCAACAAATTACATGGGTTAACCGCTATATTTTTGACAAATTTTTGATTAGGTGTGCAGACAAAAATAAACGTTCGGCGATAACTGCATGCTGATAAATCTAACAAGTAAAAAGCTGAGTATGATCCAGTCAACAGACATGTCATCCTAAGTCTAAGTAAAACCACTTCCAAAGTGATAGAATTGCATGAGCGATCCGGTAAGACAGCATACTTAAGTGAAACTTCGACCTATAATCACATTTGAATGCGGTCCTCAGCATCAGCTGATCCGAGTTACGGCACTAGAAATACCGGAATACGTTAAAATATAACTCAGTAGTAACTACAAAATTAAGGACAACTACATAATAACACCGGGTAAAGGATTACAGATGTTGTAATTACTGAATTTTTTTCTAGGAACTCGAAGAGAATATCTTGGATTTATTACTTGAGGTAAGGTTGCAGAGAATAAGATTAAAGTTCATCTACCCAGACGTGAAACAGAAACTCTAGAGTGGGGGGAAATGGGTGCTTGGATTCCATTAGAAATAAGTTCAACAGCATAAATTCTTGCGGTCACACTATAAGTTAAAGAACGAATTTGGATTAACGTCCTAGTGGTAATTTTTCATTTTTTGGTACTTAGGAATGATATAATACAATATAAACAGTCCATATGGGAACGTACACCCCTGACAACAAGTTATTTAATGCAATCCCCTTTAATTGTGTATCTAAATATTGAAGCTAGCTTAATTACTAAAATGCTTTAAAAATTAGTGTAAGCCACGCAGACTGCTACAAAGCAAGTTCGCCGTTGGTAAGAAAAGTAGCTAATCATCGAGAACAGTGAACTTTGGAGATGGTAACTTGTTAAGAGTTTTACGATCCAGGTCTTGAGAAGGTATGGGGAAACAAAACTATTTTGGTCAGTTGAGCAAGAGAATGACTTGAACTGAACAAAGGAGCAAAATACATGTTACAGAATGCACTTACCGTCATAATAGTAGCAGACCTTTTTCGTAGACGCAGATTCCATTTCCCGTTCACTGAAGCAAATCAAACAAGCTATCAGCCAACCAACAGAACTAAACCAAAAAGTAAAGGTGGACAATTAAAACAAAAGCTCGGGAAATAAAAGTATAATAATTAAAGTTAAATAATTTTATGACGGATAATAAAATTAGTCTATCCTAATAATTTTCCCCGCGCCATTTGAACAGGAGACGAAATGAATATAACGATACATGAGCCATCCTAAGCTAGATTACCTTCGACAATTTGTGAAACCCAATGACCCAAAGGAGGAATATAAGATACTCGCTCCAATCGGTAGTGGGACTTACGGAGATGTCTTCAAGGTTAGTGTAATAGTAGGTAAAGAGCATCTTATTATCATAATTTATCTAGATAGCTAATCTCTAAGGTCGTTGCTATGCTTCAGTGCCAACATTTTTGCTAATAAATTTAAATAATGTGATGATGTGAGTTTAGAAGAAACAAATTTTAGCAATGACCATATACTTGTCTATTATGATCGACAGTATACTGTGAAGCATTTAGTTGATCTATGAGGCGTCAGTTTTCGAACTCTATGCAAAAGTTCTATTTTCAACTTGCAGAATTTTCGTTTGATACATAACCAGAATTGCGTTTTTGAATTACTTGAAGGTTCACAGAGTTATTTTGCTAACATTACTGAACCACACTTACATAAAACAATCTTTTTAGTTATACAGCGTTATATCTCAAATATATCTCAAACATGGATGACAGTCCCAAACCACTTCAGTCTCTGAGCCTGTTTCAGATATTCTATTAAGAAAATTAAGTTGTCTTAGGTACGGTCTTGAGTAACTAGAATTATTTAAACTTGCTATCACAATTTATTGCTTCCAGATCTGTTCAGTTTTACATCTATTAAAATCAGGTTTTACGTCATTCATAACTAATTGACTGGACATAACCACATGAGTTTTTCTGCCGGGATATATATAACCATTGCCTAGGGAATATTTCGTACTTTCGTTTTTTAGAGAAGTTAGATTTTAATGATTACTGGAATAAAATAACTTTTTGTACTTCCATTATTGAGGAGTGACAAACCCCAGTCACAGTCTTCTTTAAATAAGAAAGCTTAATTCAGAGAAGAGTTCTCTTTTCGGTGAATTCATTTTCAAAGCTGTACAATCGCAAATATATATATACTTATTTTTCAGGATGATAATAGTTATAATAATACTGATACTAAACTTCTGTTAGACATAGTGACAGTGAGGTAAAATGAACAAAGGTAGTAGGAAAACTTTTAAACAGGAGAAACTCAATAATCGTTCGATTGTTAATGGCTCAATAATTCATCGAAAGATAGATAGGGAAATTATCATTGAGAAAGGATGGCTCAGCATTCTGCTAGTAATGGGCCAAGAAGGGATCCCATTGCTATGCCATCCTTCTGTCTATTATTTATTAATTTATCTGAACACATAAATATTGGTACAAGGGGGCACCAGATATACATTCTCCACACATTAAGAATGAGAATGGGGAGAAAAAAGAATGTAATGCGCGTGTAAGAGAGAAGAAAGAATTAAAAAGAAAACAATAACGACCACAGATTAGTGTATGGTAGTGTAATAATAGTGGGGGAAACGGAAAGGTACAACCAGAATGAATTCTTTCAGTTAAGGAATTCACAACCACCTTTGATGAAGAAAGCCAAAGAAGGTTACAGGATCGCTACTGGCTTCTATTCTGAGCCATATGTGATAACGTCTCTAGCCACTGTGTTGCGCTATCTCTCGGACCCCAGCCAGGGAGTCGTGAAGGGCTAACAGAAGTCAGCCCTTTGCAGCTTTCTTTCATGCCACGATACCATGTTATACACTGACCACCTCTCCGCTTTTTCCAACCAGTCCTAGCGTCGGCAAATAATGCACGACGTGGAATTCTCTGGGACGGCATTCGTAGAACATGTCCAAGCCACCGAAGTCGGTGTTTCAAGATGGTGACACCAATTGCATTATCGTCTCTGTGCCCGAACACACGATGCCGAACCTCTGCATTACTGACATGATGTTGCCATTGGATGTCGGCAATCCCTCGGAGACAGCGATGATCGAAGACAGAGAGTCGTCTAACGTCCTCAACTCGGAGAGGCCAGGTTTCACAAGCATGGGGCGAAACTGCTCTCACCGACGCGCTGTAGATCCAAACTTTTACATCCAGACTAACATCACGAAGGCGCCAAAGGTGGCCCAGATTAGCATAAGCCGCTCCGGCTTTCACTATACATGCAATGATCTCATCACTCACGCCACCACCAGCACTTATGCAGCTACCCAGATACACGAACTTCTCGACTACTTCCATATGCTCACCATCCAGGGTGAGTACAGGATTAGAATCCTGCCAGTCTTGTAGAAGTACTTTGCACTTCGAATGTGCAAAGCACATACCATACCTATGGACACTGATTGCCAACTGATTAAGTGCGGATTGCATGGCTTGGGCATTATCGCACAGTAAGACAATATCATCCGTATATTGAAGGCCGAGAAGTCTTTCTCCGGGCAACAGATCTACGCCACCATTACTTACATCCATCAGAGCTGTTCCCAGAATGTCGTCGATGGCAAAGTTGAAGAGGAATGGTGAGATTGGGCAACCCTGTCTAACCCCACTGCTCGAATAGAACAATGGAGAGAGGTGGTTGTATGCCCTCACTCTCCCTGAGGTGTTTGTATATAGGGCTTTTAAGATGTTAATAAACTTCTCAGACACACCCTTCTTCGATAGACTATCCCGGAGAACAGTCCTATCGAACGAATCGCAGGCAGCCCTGATGTCAAGAGACACTACGACTGTTGGCTTTTGATAAGTATGACGGTATTCTAACATTTGGCGGAGAGTGAAGATATGATCAATACATCCTCGACCGGAACGAAAACCAGCCTGCTCCTCGCGAGTCAGTCTTTCTCGTGTTTTGAACTACCTGCGAAGTATCATGGATGCCAATAGCTTGGACGCAATTGGAAGTAGCCTTACCCCCGATAGTTGTTACAGAAACGACGTGAACTTTTTTTAAACATACGGATAACTATTGACTCATTCCATGATGTTGGAACACTCTTCTGTCTGCGAATTACGTCGTTGAATGTAGACTGTACGTTGCAAGTGAAATGTAATAGTTCCTTTTTTTCTTTCTTTTATTAGCGATTTCTGCATTTGTCTACTGTTTTCCAGTTATAGGCTTAAGCCAGGTAATATATCAAGGTGTCGTTAATATTTTAACTTGCACAGAAAGTTGACCACTAAAAATGATTGCTACTAATTTTCACCAACTATGTTGGCTGAATAAGTTAGATTTAACTTAGTTTTAAATTATTATCTCGATCACTATCTCTATCATATACTTTTTCATCATTGCCTTTGTGATTAGTAGTCAATCCTATCAGTTCACCCACTATAATAATTAAGTTACACCTACTGCCGGTAAACGATCACCTCGTGATGTGATTCTGAATCACTTACGGTGGCCTAGATGTATTCAACTTAGGTCTTGAGTTTCAGTATTCTTTCATACTTACCGTTTCACTCTGTCCTCTACAACCATATTCTCTATGTGATTTGTTTGCTCACCCAGTCAGTCACAGCGTAAAACCTGTACGTATACACATCGATTCAAGTTGCCACACCCCATTAGCATAAAGAGATTTCATCAGGCCAAATCTCAAAATATTTGAGGTAGTAACACTATCAGTGGTAATAGGAAAACTAGGCACGAAAGAGACAACTGGAAAAGAAAATATAAATTAGCAAGATAAAAACAAAAAAATTGTGAGGGATTTATAAAACGTTTTAACTCCCCTTGTTGTTACACTTACTTTGAACCTTTTTACTATTCTGTCATTTTTTTTCATTTCTCACACCATCTAAGTGAGACATTTGTGCATTTTTACGGCACTACGCCTTCAAAATATTTTATTTAGAATACTAATGCATATATTGGAAATCTTCATGACTCAAGGTGAAGTAATCTCACTTTATACCACAGTAATTCTAGTCCTTGCTTTGTAAAAGCTTATCTGTATAGCTGTCAGCTGAAAACATCTTGTTTCCTTACAATACTTGTGACTCATTGCTAATGATGTATATCCAGTCAGGTCTGCTAAAATTTCCGATTGACGATCTAAGGTTTTGACAATTACTACGTAAAATTGTTTTCCACTAACCATATCAGTTACTAATTTATTCCATCTTAGTCTAGTAAAAAGTTTTCTTGACACGATTTTCCTGTGTGTTATTTCCCTTATGTTTAAGTAATCGTTTTGTTTTGTCCAGGCGGTTCATCGTGAGAGGCGGACATTGGTGGCGGTTAAAGTTATGAAGATTGATCTAAAGGATGACATTCGATCAATTTGCCAAGAAATACACACCTTGAGAGAATGTCGGCATCCAAATATTGTGCAGTTTTACGGTAGTTATCTTAGGTAACTTATCTACACGTAATCTATATGAAAATTGATTTTATTCAGGAATAACAAATTATGGATATGCATGGAATATTGCGGTGGACAATCTATGCAAGATATTTATCTCTGTATGAAAAAAATAACTTATCATAAACTGTGGATTGTTATTTTTCGTGTAGATACCAGGCGTCCCTTAGAAGAAGACTGCATTGCATTTGTCTCCAGAGAAACTTTACAAGGTTTGAATTTTATGCACAATCGTGGACGTATTCATAGAGATATTAAAGTTAGTGTATTTTCTCACTTCTTTGACTGAGATTTATGTTTAGGGTGCTAATATTCTTCTGACAGATGACGGTCATGTGAAAGTGGGTATGTTTGTTTGTAATCAGTAATTCTTACTTGATTATTTCAATCTTATAAATTAGCGGATTTTGGTGTTGCCGCCCAACTGAATACTTCAATTGCCAAACGAACAACTTTAATTGGAACACCCTACTGGTGAGTTTTCATTGATTTCCTTACTTTTTCGAGTAATAATTCTTGACTTTTTTTTACAAATTTGTCCACAAAGTACCTATATTTTCTAAAAATAAATCACACAAGAAAATTGTCTAGTATTTTCATGTCAATTAACAATGAATTTTGTTGATTGAAGGACTCATGGCTCAGAATCGGTCGTAGTGAGAAAGATATATCCACCCTTTTCCTCACCTTAATTCTAAAACTCATACTTTTAATTCCTGAATCGTATGTTCTATGTCTAAAAGTACTGTTACTACTACTTTTACTACTCTAGCATTTATCTTGAAAAATTCATCTTGTTGTGCAGATATGCTGTGGCGATTTTCACAAATGCTCATATGTATCAGGTTTTACGTTATTTACGACTGACTGACTGATTGAAGGATAACACATTCTATCTTTAACTACTTTGAGTTACATTGTTTCTCCCCTCTGAATGCAAGTTGTTGCTCCAGAACTGGCCTACGTCAACACCTGAACTAAGGATAGGGAGTGAAGTAGTCGAACGCGTCGACAGCTTCACTTATCTTGGAAGTCTGATCAGCCCTAATGGGTTGGTGTCTGGCGAAATCTCTGTACGGGTTCAGAAAGTTTGTTTGGTTTTTTCCAACTTACGTCACCTATGGCGAAGGCAAAATATCCTCCTATCAATTATGGGACGAGTATACTGTGCAGCAGTTCGTTCTATTCTACTTTACGGCTGCTAAACGTGGCCATTAAGAGTAGAAGATACTCTTAAGTTACTAGTATTTGATCACAGATATCTTAGAAACATCGCTCACATTTGCTGGGATCATCGGGTAAGTAATGGTAAGGTTAGACGCAAGGTATTAGGGAATGATGGTAAATCAGTCGGTGAGGTTGTAAATATTCACTGACTGAGATGGTTGTACCACGTGTTACAAATGCCTGAACATTGATTACCACGACGCGCAATTCTGACTAGTGTTGGGGATGGTTGGAAGAAAGATAGGGGCAGTGAAACCAAAACATGACATCAGTCCATAAAGTCACTGACGTTTGGTCTAAGCCATGCCGGTAATTGCAGACTACTTGGTTGGGGTCCACGTGACTATCGTAACCAATGGTTAGAGACTCTGGGTAACATGGCTCTTTTTCTTTTCTTAAACCGTGAGATTAAAATTACTTTATACCTTTCTTTCCAATTCTTTCTCTCTGTATTATATCGTTATATACAATCTTTCTTTTATATATTACTATCATTGAGGTAACTACTTCTATGAATTTGGTGTTCATCTTGTTGTGCTAGTGAGGTATGGCAACTTGGACCGATGTATATGTGTGCCTGATCCTACGTTGTATCTGGCTGACATTATTTATTTGCAGTCCACTAATACTACCCAGGTGTCCAAACTGAAATGTATCAGACAAGGTTCATACTTGATTTACTGGTTCCAAGCTGAAGCTGACCGCTTCAATCATTAAGCCGCCGCTCTATAATCTTGTAAATTCAGAAAAAATATTTCCTTAGCAATCGTGTTTCGGCGTTTATTGTCGTTATTTGGGTGTGAATAAGTATAATTGATTCTGCTGGACGAAAGGGTCTGTGACAGTGTTCATCATTGAGAAACTTACCAAAGATGTACATTACCCTTGTGGAATCCCTGTACTCAGACACTACTTGTCGAGTCAGGGCATTCGGCAAACTGTCATATAGTGGTTTTCAGGTTTGTCCACTTTATTCATTTCGCCTAATTTTATCATAGATGTTTTCCTATGAATAACGCTCATCTAACTCTTCAGGGGTTGGTTTTCTATTAGTAGGTTTACCTATCGTTTTGGAATACACATAGCATAGTACTATTTGGTGAGAACGCTGAAAAAGTACAATTCTTGGTCACCTTGAACAACAATGAAAACATATTTAGGGTGCACTTCTCTCCCCATAAATTTAAAATTTTGCTTCAGGACTGGTCTGTGTTAACGCCTGAGCTAATGATAGAGAGATGTAGTTGGGCGTACCGGTCACTTCACTTATTTTGGAAGTCACATCAACTCTGGTGGGTTGGTGTCTGACAAAGGCTTGGTCTGCTTTTGCCAACTTGCGTTGCTTGCGGAGTAGACGTGATATTCGTCTGCCGACTGAAGGGGCTGTACACTGTGCAGCTACCCACTTTACGTTGCTTTATGGATATGAAACATGATCTGTGAAAGTAAAGGAGATGCATACGCTGCAGGCTTTCATCTTCGCAACCTTTGCTCGCGCTTTGTGGAATTGCTGAGCGATGTTAGAGATAGGTGTTATGTCCTCATAGTCTATTAATTATCACGTGATAGGGTCACCAATTAGAACACCGAATTACTGACCAAATCAATGATGCCTAAAACAGTACGAGCAGCCTAGAGTCAACTCTGAGTTCCTATTGGTTCTCTGAGGTAGTAGCTTCTCGTCTAACACAGCCGGTCCAGTCCAGAACACAAATACCATCCTCCATTATCGAAATCACGTATTTCAGACATACTTGGTTTATGTTTACATACAAAATAAACCAGACCATATTATACCACAAAATAAAAAATAACATTTATACAAGATCAGGCTAAAAGTGGCTGTGATTGTGAGAGACCGTAACTAATAAATTGGAAATAAATTTAGAATAGTAAATCGCATAATAGTAGTCAATAAGTCAAATGGGAGCTTATAGTAAGAGGAATATGAATATACATATAATGTAGTTACTTAATAGTTATACAACAACAATATATATATAATAATTCCCTAAATAGGTCCTAACAGTTACCGTTCACTTATTCTTCGTCCAGGTAGAACAGGGTACTAGGCAAAGGTAAAAAATAAGTTGACGAGGCTATGAATATTCGTTGATTAACGTAGTTAGGACACGTTGCTTACTCCTAGTCACCTCTTGCCTTGGTGGTTGGTTTTTGCTGGTATAGAAGTAGGTAAAACAAAAGCTAGAGGTGGCCATACCAAGACACTGCATCACTCCATTAAATAATTGACTTAGTCTGAACCATGTTGGTATGTGCATTAATGGCGACCAGAAGCTGGAAACGTTTGATGACATGGCTCAGAATCATTCACAATAGCACGAATACATTAACTGTTTATTCTCCCCTATATCATGGATCCCATCGTTCTTTCATATATACCCTCTCCACTCTATCTTTTGAAACCCTATTCTCAATGCTTAAACTCTCATTTTTATTGATACTACATTATTTCACTGTCTTTTGCCATACACGTTGTTAATTTTATCTCGTTAAACTGATACGGTACGCCAACACACATCTACGCCAAGCTGTACGTTGTTTATCACTGACTGGCTGAATTAGCATAATAATAGCAACCCGTTTTCTAATTATACTAACTCTCCACAAGTTAATTATAACTAGAAGGAATTGTTACGTCAATTTTAATTAAACTTACAAAAATCCTCAGACCCACCTATCACTACCGTTTCTTTGAATAGTTATCATCAGCAAAAATGATGTAATAGTAGTTTCTTTCGTTTAATAGATTTTGTCAGTAATATAATGTTACCAACTATAAACTTATCTTACCAAGCAAACATTACATAGATTTTAACAAATGTATATGGAGAAAGCCTAAACCAAGAGAAATCAATTACCCAGATGTATTAATAAGTTCATGCTCATGCTGATGTTCGATTGGGTCGAAAACATAATTTTTAACCTAGTTCTATAGTATTTAATCACGAACATTGTTTACGTTGACTGCTAAATCCTTCTTCGATAATTTTGTAGGATGGCGCCTGAGGTAGCTTCAATTGAATCTCGTGGCTCGGGTTATGATGGAAAGTGTGATATTTGGGGTGTTGGGATTACTGCTATTGAATATGCTGAACTGCAACCTCCAATGTTTGATCTAGACCCTAGGAAGTAAGTATGTTTTTGGCCCCTATTAAAAGTGAATTGTTTGAAATGTAACTATCTGTACTGTTGCCAGCTAAATGACACTATTCTTTTTTATCATTCTTTCCCTAGAGCACTACAAATTCTGGGTTCGCGAAACTACAAGCCCCCTTCTTTACAAGACCGTCATAAATGGTTCGTTTTCTTTTTTTGATGGTTTGCTGTTATATTCGTTGTTGCAACATTTCTACAATGTTAATTGCTATTTATCAATTGTTCGATTTAGTCTATATATATATATATATATATATATATATATAGCCTGTTACCCTCGTGGAAGAGCATAGACTTCCTGCCAGGATTCTCCGTACAACTCTATCTTGGGTAAACCTTTCCAGTTGTTGTTCATTCTTTTAATGTCTACTTCCAGTTTTCAACGCAGTTTGTTCTGTGACCTTCCTCTTTCCCGTTCTCCTCCAGCATTCCAAGTTAGCGCTTGCCTCGTGATGCAGTTTGATAATTTCCACAATATATTTCCTATCCACGTCGTGTCTCTTCCTAATTTCTTCAACTAGAAGCTGGTTTGTTCTGTCCCACAATAGGCTGTTGCTGATGATAGCCGGTCAACGGACATCGAGTATTTTTCGTAGACAATTTTTTATAAATACTTGTAATTTTTTGATGATGATTGTGGTAGTTCACCAAGTTTCAGCTGTGTACAGTAGAACTGTCTTGACATTCGTATTGAAGAATCTGACTTTGAAATTGGTTGACAGTTGTTTTTAGTTCTATGTGTTCTACAACTGTAGAAGTCCTGCCCTTTGCCAATCCTAGCCTTCACGTCTGCATCAGGTCCTCCTTGTTATATATATCATTATCGTCCTATATTACGGTTGTCGTAAACCTTAAATGACATATTTTTATGTTGTAGAAATCATACCTGAAATAGTTAAAAATATTTTTTCAGAATTTCTATGGGATGTGTAACAACATGTATTTAATATAACATTACAACGTAAAAAGGTTTATCTTGAATATCAGAGTTTGCATAAGTTTACAGTAAAAATAAGAAACATGAGGTTAAAGTGTGCCACTGTTGTGTTGCGCGATGTCTGATTCTAATACTGATAAACATGCTCCCTATTCACGAGTTCAGTCGTCTATTTGCGTGAGAAGACTGAGTGAGGAGGAACAATATATTTTCTAAATTCCTGTATTTTCGTTTCTATAATTAGTGGTTGAGTTAATTTTTGTAAAACAGTTGAATATTTTGAGTGTCTGCAAGCCATCTAGTCTTTTTGTCAACCATTGTCCTATCTTTTTATAATAATAAAAAATAGTTTGATCATGAAAACTGACTGAATAAATATTCACTAAATACTTGGGTATGAGCCACGCTAGATATGTAAAGGTTATCGAAACTACTCGAAGTAGGTGAAACGGGGTTCGAAACTGAAACTTAATGGCTAAAAGTTAAGAGCCCCAAACACTACACCATTACTCCACAATAGTTTGGTAAATTAAATTTTTAATACTACCTCGGGAGGGTATACATTATAATTCTTCAATCTTATACTGAGAAAAAGCTCTCTAGTACTCCTCGCTTATTGATGGTATGATAACTGATCAATCTAGGACGAACACCACCTTCAAAAAGATATTGTTGACGTAAAATTCATATAAAAGTTGTGACTGGCTTACTTCATTCTTGTTGAGATATACATTTTACGATAGTTTCCACCACCAACTATTATAAACTATAAAACCATAAAAAGCAAACTAAAGTGGAAAACTGTAAACTATTGAATTTCAACTGAGTCATCAAATGACACGGTAATCACAACTTGAGCTAATTGATTCAATTTCAATTCATGATAAGGTTCAAGAGTCCATACTTCTACTAAGAAGTCTCAAACTAGAACTCCATAACTTTCAATTGGTCCTTGTTTTTATTACTTACAATGAAAATTATCTCCAATTTAACTAATCCTGAAAACCTTCCACGGTGTGGGCAACCGGGAAGTGATAACCTCCCTCATACCTCTAACAGCACCCAAGACCACTGTATTTATAATCAACCTTCCTCTTCAATTCCTATTATTCGTCCTACATCGACTTTCAACCCTAAACTTCCTCCTTCGGCTTCCTCCTCAAGTGTCACCATAGCCAACGATTCTAGTGCTCAAAACTCTGTCTCAGGTCTACTAAAACTTCGCTCCAAACTACACATTGGAGCTTTCAACGTACGCACTCTATGTCAAATCGGTCAACAGGCTTCCTTGGCTAAAACCCTAGAGTCTCTTTCCATTGATGTATGCTGTGTCTCCGAAACACGCATACAGGATCCCAGTGTGGTCATTCACTTGACCTCACCTCTCCAAAACATAGAGCCGCCGAGGTGCACCCCCCGTGTATCTGGTGACCCGGCGGCCAGCTGTCGTGGACTGGCAGGTGTAGGCATAGCACTAAGCATGAGGGCGGAACAAGCACTGCTAGAGTGGATCCCCGTTAACAGTCGTTTATGTGCTATTAGGCTAAACGGCTCCGTAAGAACTACGAAGGATAGTGACACACGTCGTTGTCTTTTTGTTGTTTCTGCCTACGCTCCCACCGACTGCAGGCCAGATGAAGTGAAAGATGAATTTTCATACACATAGTTCCCTTTATCATTTTGAAAAGAGCAAGAACAAAGATTTTAGCAGAATAGCATGAATTCATTTTATTTCGTAGGTTCTCGTCAGCTGCTTACAACCTGTGATATTTAAAAATCATTATTACATAATGGATTTAAATTGCTTACAGAATATTGTAAATATATACCTAATGTGAAAGAATATTCTACAACATTAATTGTGACAACAGTTCAAAAATGGGTTAGAAACAATTGATTACATAATGAATAAACATTGATAGGAATATAGTGATTAGAGTTCAGTTGAAAGATTATTAATTTGAAAGATAGTTGAAAAAATAAATTAGAATCAATGATGTAATAAATGCAACAGAAAAAAGAGGAAAAAAAGGAAAAAAAATTTTAAGGTCCAGTGAAGGAATATTTGTCACCAGGGTAAGGAAAGATTAACCACCGTCTCCTTTTGAATACATAGGTCAGGTTTTTGTCGCCTGATGGCAATGGCTTCAGCAAACTTCAGAAGACTGGAGTTTGGCTGCTTACTAATCACCCTAAAGGATTGTAAGGTATCTACCTGATGCCCTGTATCAAGGAGATGTTTGGTGATCGCACTGTTCAGAGTCTTTCTTTCCCTTGTTCTAAGACTTTTTGGAACATGTTCAAAGAATCTAAGATATGCTCTCCTTTCAGTTCGGCCGATGTAGCTGCTTTGGCAGGTACACGTAAATTTATAAATACAGTTGGCGGTAACATGAAAGGGTTGCTTGTCGATCTTTGATTGGGTTATTGAACATGTTGTTTTATAGAGAATTAAAAGTTTAGCAGCCGGATAAGTTCTGGCTAGCGCTGTATTCAGTCTCTTGTTGATAATTCGTGCGACGTCATCACCTTTAAAGTTAAGATTTATATATACTGGTTTTTTATTGACCATAGTTATTTCCGTCTTCTTTTCCTTGGGCCTTTTATATTTGTCAATAAATTTTTGTGGATAAAAGTTGTCTTTTAGGCATTTTTCTACGTTCATTAATTCTTCTTCCAGTTTGTCGGTGGTGCATATCTTTTCTGCCCTGTAAAATAGTGTTTTAACCAACGCCTTCTTGTAACTAATTGGACAAAAACTATTGAAATTCAGAACTCGAAAGGATAGCGACACACGTCGTTGACTTTTCGTCGTTTCTGCCTACGCTCCCACCGACTGCAGGCCAGATGAAGTGAAAGATGAATTTTACAGAAAGCTATCTGAACTTCTTCAGAAAGCTAAACGTCCAGACATAGTACTCGTAGCAGGTGACCTTAATGCCCAGATAGGTAGTCTAAACCAAACAGAAAGGCATTTAGGTGGGTATTTTAGTATACCGGCACAACGAACAGATAATGGTGATCGTATGCTGCAACTGTGCTCAGACAATCGCTTATTTTTAGCAAACACAAATTTTAAGCATAAGGAGAGACATCGTCTAACGTGGCGACCGCCTGCACCAAACCAACGATGGACTCAAATAGACCATATTGCCATCAGTCATCGTTGGAGAGGGTCGGTACAAGATTGTCGCTCATTCTGGAGTACCTGCTTGGACTCCGACCACGCCCTAATACGGGCACGCATCTGCTTGCGTCTCACTGGACGCAAAAAAGCCACAGTAAAAAGACCCATTAGAACCGAACTGAGTAGCGAGGAAACCAAAAGTAGGTTCTAAGAACAACTGAGGTCACGATTAGGTAGTTCTGAAGACGAGGCTGACCCAGATGTTGCTTGGAAAGATATACAAACAGCTGTGGAAACAGAAATGAAACCTATTAGTGACTTAAACCACAGAGTTACAAAGAACCAGTGGATTTCTTCAAAGTCTATCACACTGATGAATTCTCGCAAACTCGTCCCATCAGGTTCCGAACATGAAGAGCGACAACAAATTAGATCTAGGTTAAGAAAAAGTCTAAGAAACGACCGTGAGCAGTGGTGGGCAACGAAAGCAAAAGAGATGGAAAAGGCGGTGACTATAGGGAACACAAGACAGCTCTACAGACTAATAAAAGAAACTGGAATTAATAAGTCAAGTGTAAGTGAGATTATATCGGAAAAAGACGATACACTCATCTGCTCTCAGTCCAGACGTTTAGAACGATGGGTGGAACATTTCAGAGAACATTTCAGCTGGCCTTCAGCTACTCTACAACTACCCTCCATTCCCAGACAGTGTGAATGGAACATTGAAGTAGGTCCCCCAACTCTTGCTGTAGTTCAAAAGGCTATAGTTAATCTAAAACGAGGAAGGGCAGCTGGTCCAGATGGATTGGCTCCAGAGGTCCTTAAGGATAGTGGTCCAATTTTAGCGATTAGGTTGACTAATATTTTAGCTAAGATCTGGGAGTTAGACGTTATTCCATCTGATTGGTCGCAATCACTTATCGTCCCAATATATAAGAGAGGGTTAAAATCATCCTGTGACAACCACAGAGGGATTAGTCTAACTAATATAATATCTAAAATACTAGCCTCGATAATTATCAGACGCCTAACTAAGACTCGTGAACTGCAAACACGAGAGAACCAAGCTGGCTTCGAACCTGGTCGTGGCTGCATCGACCACGTACTCACCATTACTCAGGTTCTAGAACAGGCATACTTATCGGCGTCCGACAATGGTGGTCTTTCTCGACTTAAAAGCAGCATTTGACTCGGTAGACCGCGAGATTCTGTGGCAGTGTCTGTCATTGAAAGGCGTACCCCAGAAGTACATAAACCTTGTAAAGGCTCTTTACTCGAACACTACTAATCGAATCAGAGCTTATGGCGAACTGTCATCTGATTTTGCAACCTCAAGTGGTGTCCGTCAAGGCTGTCCACTTTCTCCATTTTTGTTTAACTTCATCATAGACCTAATGATGGAAATAACATTCTCGTCGACTGAATTCTGGGGTATTGATCTCCTATCAGGAGGTCCACTTATCGACTTAGAATACGCAGATGACATAGTCTTGTTTGGTGAAGACGCTGACAAAATGCAGAGTCTTCTGGTAGCACTGAGCAACAATGCCAGAATGTTTGGAATGCGCTTCTCTCCCTCTAAATGCAAGTTGTTGCTTCAGGACTGGTCTGCGTTAACACCTGAACTAAGGATAGGGAGTGAAGTAGTCGAACGCGTTGACAACTTCACTTATCTTAGAAGTCTGATCAGCCCTAATGGGTTGGTATCGGACGAAATCTCAGCACGGATTCGAAAAGCTCATTTGGCTTTTGCCAACTTGCGCCACCTATGGCGAAGGCGAGATATCCGTCTATCAATTATGGGATTAGTATACTGCGCGGCAGTCCGTTCTGTTTTAATTTACGGCAGCGAAACATGGCCATTAAGAGTAGAAGACACTCGTAAGCTATTAGTATTTGACCACAGATGCCTTAGAAATATTGCTGGCGTCTGCTGGGATCACCGGGTAAGTAATAGTGAGGTTAGACGCAGGGTATTAGGGAATGATGGTAAATCAGTTGATGAGGTTATGAATCTTCATCGACTGAGATGGTTGGGCCATGTGTTACGTATGCCTGAATACCGATTACCACGACGTGCAATGCTATCCGGTATTGGAGATGGTTGGAAGAAAGTTAGGGGCGGCCAAACCAAAACGTGGCATCAGTGCTTAAAGTCACTAACTTCTAGTCTGAGCCATGTTGGTAGATGCAGACTACTTGGTTGGGGTCCGCGTGACTGTCGTAACCAGTGGTTGGAGACTCTTGGTTACATGGCTCAGAATCGATCACAATGGCGTCGGTGTATACACTCTCTGTCTTCCCTTAAACTGAGAGATTAAAATCACTCAATAGCTTTCTTTCTACGAACCAATTCTTTCTTCTTGTACTATATCTCTATATACAATCTTTCTCTTATATATTACTACCTTTGACCTAACCACTGCTATGAATCCGGTGTTCATCTTGTTGTGCTGATGCGGTATGGCAACCTGTACCGATGCACATATGTGCCTGGTCCTACGTTGTAGCTGACTGACTGAATCCTGAAAACCACTTTTACTGTAATCAAACAAATGAATTCACTAAAAGAACTTTTTTGATAAGGTTTTTCAATTATACTAACTACTATTAATTACTATATTAACAACAGGATTCTTGAAATGAAATTGATAGTGACTGATATACTTATCATAAAACACCGTAAATTCTTAATACTCATTTTCCTCTATATGCAGTTCAACAGTGCATTCTAGCTCAATCTAAAATGTCACTTAATTCAGCTTGATACTACCATTAAAAACAGCTATTTAAGTCAGTAGTACTAAATGCTTTACTTCATGTAAACAGTGAAATGTAGAATTCCATATTTAATTGTTGCGAAATTAAATTGAGATTTTTTCTTAGTCATATGATCTGTTGTTTAATTCATCCAGAAATATAATATGTGATATGATCAAGCTTCGAAACACAATGCTTGTGATCGATTTTGAAAGAAGCTGATCCAGTAGCTTGATTGACAGGAAATCAATGTTTACATACAATCACACAACAAATGGATCATTATTTAGAATAAATACGAATACGTAGCAGCACACTGTTTGATCATATGTTAGTTTTAGTAGTAACGCGATGACTGAGTTGCGAACAAACTTAACTTTTAATCTTATTTCATATTTAGCACACTTGTCATTCCCCTCTTTGTGCTGACGTGCATCATGGTAATTCAGATTGATGTATAATGGTTCTGTATCCTATGTTCTTTTTCTTGAATTAATAATTGTACTTAGTGCTCCGATTTCCGACAAATCTATGCATTCTAAGAGACAATTTCTGAATACAGAACACTATTTCGTAAATCTGACTCGAGTACTCATAGTGCGAATTTGTTAGCAAACATTTTTAAGGATATTACTTAACACCAAATCATTATTTATTATACATAAACAATCAATTTTTCATAGGATTCCTTTGACTTTCAATTACGACTGTTAAGCCACATATGCACGTTAATTATCAAGGTAATTTCCAAGCTAATGTTGATAAGAAAATAGACTATTTGCTTTTTAATGGATTTCCAAATTCAAATTCTTTCCTGTTCTGCTTACTTTCTGGGTTGAGGCATACGACTCTTTTATTCATCACTATTTTTTTTCTTTCCTGTCATTTTAATTTCAAAAAGTTCAGAGACAAATTATCATTCATATGTTATCATCTACGCGTCTACCATTGATTATTATTATTTCTATATATTTTAGGTCACCATTATTTCATTCGTTTATTAAATGTTGTTTAATCAAAGCAGAACGACGAAGACCTGATGCAGCTACAATGCTTACAGTAGGTTACATATACTTTAAGTATTATTTCATTGATTGGTTATGCATTCATTGTTGTAGAAGTGACTATTTTATCTTTATTTCCCTTTTGATAATTCAGTTATTGACCGACAAGTTAAATCGTTGTTTTGCTATTTTGGCTGAATGATTTCCACTTAAATGTTATCAATAATTTCCTTATATGTATTCATAGACTCAGTCACTAGGGTTGTGGTTCCATCATTTAAACTCTAGTGATAATTTAGTGATCGATTAAGTAACTATCAAGTTGGCCACTTTAGTTTTTAGATTTAATCGTTCATGGACTGTCGGGTTTGTAATGAATCTTGATAGTTACGCGTTTATCTTTTACATAATTGACAAATATGAATACGTGTAAGAGTCTCGAACATTTGAGTAAAACATTTTTCTGGTATTAATCGTTTTAAATATCTATTTAATTGATATTGACGTTTGATTATAATCAGTTTAAAATCTATCAAGATTTCTCAATTCATTAACTTGAATGATAATTTTTCTGATTTAATTGTAGCATAACTTTGTTACAAATCCACACTTGTCTACTTTATTAACTCAACGTCTGCTGTGCTATCGGAGACAATTAGAATCCTCAGTCAAAAATACTTATTCCCATGGAGACACAGGAATATCTTCATCAAATAAAAAGAATCCTCCACCCGGGGGTAATTTTATTCCTCCTGATAATCATGAACCACCAGTATCCTTTCCTGGTATGCCTATTTCAGTTCGACAGGAAGAATATTTCAAATCTCTTCGAGTCAACGATCTCCCAGTTAGTCACGGAAATGATGCTAGTGTTCCTGTGCATTTTGTCCCATCACAACAACTCATTATTGAACGAGAACCGGAACGATTCCCAAGTGTACAAATCCAAAGCAGTTTATCTTGCTCTGATTTAGCCGATGTAAGTTCAACATCTGTCTTTCTGTGTGTTTTAAATTATCACCATTGCTCGTATAGTTATGAGTCATTTTCTTGTCATCTTAGTAGCAGTAACAAATCACTAACTGAAATACTGTTGATAAAATCCCATGATGAAGTATTTCACAAAAAAGTCACTAGACTATTCATGTTTGATGTCATGTAGACTGACTGAGCAATCCTAGTGTACAACTTACATTTTTGATGCTGTTGTGAAAGTTCTCATATTTGCAATTTATTTTTGAAAATCAACGTAATATCGAAAGCTTTAATGAGTAAAAAACAATTGAGTTTGTCGTTAATAAAAAAAATCAGCTCTGACTGCGGTATTAATCTTCCTCGTATATTACGGGATTTCGCAATTTATTTGAATTAAAAGTAATAAAATAATATTTTACTATTTTTCACAATTTGATCTGTGCAGTTTGGGGACTGTTAATAAAACCCCAAATTTTCAACTCAAGTTTGTATTTATTCCAATGTTAATTAACGTCGTATTAAATCTACTTCTGGTCATATACTGTCACTGTCTTATCTATGAAATAAATGTGAAGTTATTGTCATTAAAGGTATGAAATCATGCATAATCCACCTATGTATCGAATAAATAACTAGTATTGAGTTCTGAGTACATAAATATGTTATAGTTTTTCATTATCGTTAAATGCCAGCTTGTAGAACATCTTTACGAAAATATAATTCTGCAAATTACCGTTTCTTGATTGGGTTGTTATGCATAAAGCACTAATTAACCTTTGAGCATGTTGGATTTTGATATTTTGAGTTTACTTTCTGTATAGATTCACATAGCTCTACATTTTGCCATAACTGAAATTCACTGAACAATGTTAAAGCAGAGAGATGGTAAAGTAATTTCTTTTAGAAAAGCCTTCATTTAGAGTTTTGCAAACGAGGCTACGTTATACTACGTGCATGGAATTCGCGTATTGATACCTTCTTTGTTGATTATTGGGATCTGTGATTGTATATAATACATTTGGTGACAGAACTTCATATCGGTCTCAATGGCATAATTGGATTCATTCTTTATATCCCTTCCAGATTTTGAGTTTTTCTTTGACCATGTTCTGTGCCTTGTTTCCAACTTCATTCATTCCTTTCTGACTAAATTCTCTAGGTGTATCGTTTTCGTCACTACTATTGGTATTATCACTTCGATTCTTTTATTGTTCATTCTGTGAATTGTGGCCAGTTGAGATAATGTATGTTCAAAATAATTTGTCATCTGATAACTAACTGTTTTTTCATTTTTTTATCATTGATTATCATTCAATCGCTTACTACATCACTTACCTATCGATTTCAGCTTAGCTATAATAGTGTAAGTTTTACATCATCTCTAAGGTTTGTTTCTTATTGTTTTGTGCTCTTTCATTAATCTTATTAATAAAGTTATCTTGAAAAACAGTTATAACTTTAATTTTAATCTCTCTATTGAAAGTTTTCATGTATGGATGATCATTAGTTAAGCTCATAATTATTACATTGCTTATGTAGCAAAATAATTTAATGAATTTTTAAACTTGGTGATCCGTCTCGGTATTTTTTTCTTCTGTAAGAAACAAAAGATTATTACGTCTTGTATTTCTGTTTAACTTCATTTTGAACAACTTCAGAACTATGTTATCAAAATAATTCATGTTACTGTATGATAAATTTCATTAATTAACATTCTAAATTGTATAATTCATTGCATTAAATATTAACGTATATCAGTTTAAATTTTATTTATCATATAGATGACCCATGTGATTTTTTTCGTATATAAATTTATTGTAAAAACAACAATAATAACAAATAACAGACATTTATATCCTACAACTTGTACCATCTATAACAATATCATTTTATTTTTCTACTTCAACATGTATATGTCGGTATTTTTCTTTTTTTTTCTCATTGGCTTAATATTTCTAGGTGATTTTCGACTGAATCCACTGTTTGTATATTGTCACTCTATCATACTAATCCGGGCTGTTATTTATGATAGACTACTGGTAATTGTAATTTACAAATGTCTAAAAAACAATTTATATAAAATCAGAAGTATAGTTAGATATATGGTACAGTAGATTTGTACTTACTAATTACTATATATCTTTTTAGCAGTATAAACCACTATAATTGATGATTTGAATTCAAATCTATATAAGATTGTGTAAATATGGAGAGAGGTTTCAGTGCTTGTCTTGTACTCAGGAGATCACCAGTTTTGAAATCGTTCCCATCTATTTCTATCCGAGTAACTGAGACTGGTATCATTAGCCTCCATATAAATAGTACACCTCGAAGCCGAGCACGCAAACATGTACTTAGTAGGTTATATTGGTTTATAATGTTAATTTATGTCGATTATCATATGCGCTGCATTGATTATGACCGAATGATTGTAATAATAGTACGAATAGCCGAATATTTTCACTTATCAGAATTCATGGTTTTATGCTCGTTTTATAAAGGTATGCAAATGTGAGGAAAGAGACCCCTACGTGCACTCACACTTTTCCACATGTCATAACAATACAAAACGGCAGATAAGGCACAAGATTGGCTTTTTTTTCTTTTTTTTCGTGGTCCATCTAACTTTCAGATACCTGAGAAATATATAAGATTGCTGATTACATCTTATGTTCGTAATTCAGTCATAATATTCTAAATAACATTATATATGAATGATTATTTTAAGTCATCCAATGGTATATATCCATTTAGTTGAGCCATTGATTCATTTATATAAAATCTACATACAATTACAATTTTCGAGATCAGTTCCATGTGAAAACTATCGTTTCCACTTACGTTAATCATCATAACTTTCTTCATAATTCACCTCTTGGTAAATATTTTATCTTACATTTTTATTTATTTTTACCTTTAATTTTTCCATTTTAACACTAGGATCATACAAAGAATTGTAATGAGATTGCAGAATCTACAGATGTGAACTACATTTCACAAGGAAGAGAAATCACTATAAATAATAATGATAATTTGACTAAAAAAAATTATGCACCTGATATAACAGTTACAGTTAATGGATTTGTAAAACATTCACAATCTGACTCATCATCTCAGTATAATAATACACAACAACAGGCTGTGATTCGACCTTTATTACCAGTGAAATCCTCTAGACACTCTTCAGTGCTTAATAATGATAGTAATCATTCTGTAGATTCAACAAATTCATTCAATCAAAATAATAATATAGCTACTCTTATCTCTATTGGTTCTACTGATAACAACAGTAATATTAATAGTAATAGCGATAAATCATCAGCTATAACTATTACCACTAATAATAATGATAAGCAAAAACCTAGTCGGCCTTGTCCGCCCATAGTACGACTTAATCCGTCACATGTATCAAATATAAACAGTGTTGGTGAAATATCTGAAGAAACTGATTGTTTAACAGAAAATCATTTATTTGCTGATCGTTTATTACATATCAGTTCAGAGGCAAGTGCCTATTTTGTTTTACATTCGGTTAATTTTAGAAGTATGGATTCATTAATTCCATTTTCTAAACTATATCAAGATTTATAAACTCGTAAATTCTAGGCTTATGCATGCTATGCTATTTTTTCAGTTGTGCATCAACAGAACTTTTTTTTAAAGTTTTTAATTTGCCATGTTCATTTGTCATAAAATAATGGTTATAAACTCATGTTAAACAAATTTCGATTTTGCTTATGAAAATATAAATCGGTTCGTTTCCCTAGTGTTCTACATACATGATTTCCAGATTGTTGTTTTTACAATTTAAATTAAGCTTCAGGGTTTCATGTGCACAACTTTTCATCAGTAGACAAAGAATTTAAATTACGATCCACTCTCATTGTATTTTAAATCTGGGTACTGTCAGTAATCTTCACTAAACATATATTACCCATAGCTTATTACATCAACTCATGATCTATCGTTCAGTCACATTCGTATTCAGATGACGAATACTCCACATTTGTTCACTACTTCTTAGTGTACTCTAAATTTTTGGTGATTTTTACAAAACAGTTTTAGTTCATTCACTGTCATTATCTAATCATTACATTAACCATCCATCAATGTATGTATGTCATTAAACACGAAGTAGCCAAGTAATGAAAGCACATTAATCAAACATATATAATTCTCCTACTATTCCTAATATTTTCATTTGCGTCTAATTCTTTTTATGTTGAGAAAAATAACAAACTAAGATAGTTGGTTATTTTTTGTCGTCATTGTGTATGGCTTTTTTCTAATTTTTACAAATTCACTTGCTTTTTAGTAGAAAATATATATATACTATTTGATTTCCATAGTTTATAACACTTCAATCTATATTCGGGTAATAAAAAGTAGATAAAATATTTGATAATTAAGTAAATTATGTAATGTTTAATATAGATCTTGATTTTTGTTATTTTATATTTGAAATTTTTACTTGTTTTCATTTCTTTTTCGATGTGTAGGATTTGCTTAGTGAGGTAATGGATGCATTTGAAAAACGTCGTAGTGGTGTTGATTTTCGTGCATCTCAATCCATTGATGGGTAAGTCAACTATGAAAATGTACGAAACGTAAACAGATTTTTTTGTCTTAAGGACTATTCAACATAATAGTTATTCAGTATATCAATACTTCTTGATATAGTCTAATGATATCTGATAAAGATCACCTTATATCTCTTATTTACTAAAGTTAATATTATTTAGTTTCTACTCGTTAACCTGGAGAATATCATGCTCTTCTCAATATCTGAGTATTCTTGGTTCTATTCCACACTCAGTTGTGAAGTGTAAAACTGAAACAAAACAGCCTTTGAGTGTTCCCTGGTTTTAAGTTATTTTTGAGATAATGAAAATCATATTCCTCTCTCTTTCTTAAGTCCATTGAATGTAGCATATAAACTGATCAAATGTTTTTTTACGATAGCCGTCAATACAATAAGTATTTGTTACATTCGTTTATTTTTTAGAAAATAAAGAACTGTTTTCCAAAATTTTAATTACTTCTTTTTTTTGCGACAATCTAATTTTCAGTTTCGATGTTAGTCGGATAGATAATAAGATCAAATTGAATGTGAGTTTCTGTTACTTAGTTTAGTTTATAATATACATACTTTTCACTATTATAATTACTATTACCACTAACACTACTATTATTGTCAATATACGACACATCACTCTCCCGAATCTTGCTTTACCTAATTCGGTTTGATAACCAGGTAGGTTCCAGGCTCAAGCACGGTCGTACAGGCACTAGTATTGCAGGGTTTCATAAGGAAGATATGACCTGAAGCTAAATACATAATCCTTTATTTGGTTATTTACTTACACCAAATTCTGTTATAATAATAAATGTAAAATAATTAAATTCTATTCGTCATTAATACATCGGCTAAATTTATGTACTATTTGTGAAAGAACAAAAATTAACTGGATAATAAATCGACCTAATGTAAAATGAGTTGCGCGGAAATTTGCAATTTACATCAAAATTGTCAGTTATCTTGTCTTTCAATGTTTATCATGTAACTGATATGGTGCCCAAGAATTAGTTCCGACGGTCTTAATTGATTAATGAGTGACCTACAAACTGATTTCCTCTAAAGGCGTATGATAATTTATGTCTTTTTGTGTTGGTACTTTGTATACAAACATATCGTTTCAGCAGATGGTAAAACTATCCTTCTGACCAATGGTCTTGCCTTTAATTTCAAATTATTATTATTATTATTATTATTATTATTATCAGCTTTATTCAATATTATGTTTTTGGTACAATATAGAATTCTTAGCGTAAAGTATTGCAACAAGTTTCCGTTTCTTTATTCTTGATCGGTCCTGGCGATAAATATTGAGTGATCGCCTGTTAGATGTTAGCAGTTCAGTAAATGAACATCTGAATAATGTGCATTCTTTTCGCTGTATATTGCCAGCAACCACATTGTTTCTTATTGAGTTTTTTGTAACTTTGACAACGAAAGGTTGTACACTTTTCAGAAACGCAGCAGAATAGGTCATGCGATTAATAAACATAATGATATATTGAAACAAACAAAAATAGATAACTTGTTGAAATATCTAGATGGCAGGAACAGGTAGCCCAGAAGCTCAAGCAGGCCGACTCAAGTCATCAATTCCATCTCGTGGACAGCGATTCCTCTACTACATCGTATCATTGCAGTTCATTTATCGATCAGCGCTATTCTCTGTTATTTCACTATTGAAAATTCATTCATAAAATCATTGAAAACCTATTCCGTAACAGGAGCCATGCTTTTTTTCTTAACAAATGCTCATCTCAAAATATGAAATGAAACGGTTTAAATAATCCACGCCTATTCAAGCATCATGTAAAAATATTGAGATAAAGTCACATAGCTTATTGATGAAACCTTTTTTAAATTAGTATCAAAAAGGGTTCATGAACATTAAATAATCATCAAAGTAGAAAGGTATTACAGCATTTTTGTGTTTATTTACCGCTTAATGTTTTTATGTCTTCTTGTTTCCTTTTTACAAAGAATGAATCACAAAATGATACTTCAATAATACAACCGAACATTCCTCTAGCGCCACGCTCACGTTCGAAACGACGCGCTCCTCCACCACCACCATTACAGCCATCTTCTACAGCATTGAACGTTATTACAACGAATAACACTACTTCTACTACTAATAATAAAAATAATATGTGTTCATCATTAGATCAAATAATAAATTTGTCTACTTTGGATATTGGCAGTAATATTTCAAAAACCGACAAGTTATACATCAATGGTATCTCTGCTCCATCACATGAAAATCATGTTAAAGAGACATCAAATGATATAACATTAAATTATAATATTAAAATAATTCGAGAGGATTCTATGAGCAATAATGAAAATGGTAATGATGATAATGGTAATGAGACTGGAAAATACAATAGTTCTGTTAGTATAAATCATAATGGTCAATTATCCTCTTCTATAAATGATAATGATAAAACATTAACACCAGCTCCACCCAGACCTCCACCGCCTAAATTAAATAATAATCATACTGGTGTAACTTCTTTGCCAACACCTCTTCGAAATAGTAAACAAAATGATGACTCATCAAAGCATATTTCACGTCAACATCAATTAGAAATGGGTATTGGTCTTCCTCCTACTCCAAAAGTTCATGTAAATTATTATTATTTATTATGACTATATATAGCTCTTTGTTTTTTTTTTAAACCAAAAATATATCAGAAATGGATTCTGTGGAAATTTTAGTAATTTAATAGTTGAATTCATGAGCCAATTAAAGATGATCTAGCTTTAATCGACTCATGAATTCAACTATTAAAAAAAATATTACTCAAAATCGATTTCATTACAAACTAATATTCATTGAAGAATCATCACTTATATAGAGAAATATCAAATTCATATTAAAAAATTTTTCGAATTACTGGGCAAAGTGATATTTGTGAACAAACCAATAATAAAAGGTTAATAACAAAATGATATGATGAATAAATTAAAAGAAATTATAATTAACTGAACATTTATAAAACGGATTATATTCTACATTCAAGTTTATTTGGAAGATTTTGTAATTTACACAAATCAAGTTGATAATATCATACTTGATACACTAAATGATATTATTGATTTACAAACAAATATTCAGTCAGTGGTTCTATCCCTAAAAATTTATTCAACTAGAACTTAGGTATTATATTAGTTTTTTGAATTAGTACTTCAATAATTTTATTAGTCAATTGTACTGTTGGTAATGATGGTGATAAAGGAACCTTTGCTGAATTCCAACTGTTTTAAAGTAAAAATCAAATTGAATAATAATAATAATAATTTATAAATGGTTAATCAGTCAGTCTCAACGTAGAACCGGGTACGTATGTGCATCGGTTCAAGTTGCCACACCCCATTAGTACAGAGAGATGAAATTGTTATGCCAAATCTTAGAGGAGTAAAAGTAGTGACAATATCAGTGGTAATAGGAAAGATCTGGCATCGAAGATACGGTTCATGAGGATATAAATTAATGAAATAAAAACAATACCATTATTGTATATTAGCAAATATAAGAGGATATATAAACACTTCAGTTCTATTTATTGTTTACTTTAGGAAATCTGAGTTTCTAGCCAGTTTTTCCGTTATTACTTTTTTTTCTCATCTACAGATGGGTGCTTGTTTTATGCAAATATTTGAAGGTTGTCCATTGAAAGTGAACTCAACTGCTACATGGGTAAATCCAGAAACTTTAAGTAAGTTTATTTTTTGAATTGACTACTTCAATGGTATTTATAATGTGAAATAAATCTCCCTACTTCGGTTACCATAATTTCATGAAGGTCTGCATATTGAACAAGAAAATAAATAGTTAAGTGAATAATAAATATATTTTTTGTTATATCCCAATGAGTAGAAAAATTGTATTTTTTGACGTTTTGTGACCTAATGTAAGCCACTTTTTTCTACTTATTGCTATATAAAAAAATAAACTTAATATTAACTTTTTATCCAATGCTCAGTTTATTTGAAACTATCAAGTCCAACCTTGGCATTGATACCTATAAATAGTTAAATGATTATTGTTGCATCAATAATAGAACATCATGCAACTTGATTTGAATGAACGTTGAAATTAAAATAAATTACATGTAACATGTGACTATTTGTATTTTATACTGTACCACATGATATACTTTAATGCCAAACTTGTGAATAGTGTTTACAAGTAGGATTGTACCAACGTAATACACATTAAACTGATTAGTATTACTTTGTTCCATGCAACTTCATAATCCTACAACATCGGTTTTAGTCTTTTAATTGTTGTAATCATACGTTGTTTATGTATTCCATATTGTAATGTATCACCTTATTGATCGAAGTCTAACATTATATTTGTCCTTATTTTTAAATAACTACATCTCTTAAAAGCACAATACAACTGTAGGATTATTTCCCTTATTTCAATTCTGTTATCGTTTCATATGCCCATTAATATTTCGTAATAATTTGTAACTTAATGTCTGCTTGTAACTCAACCATACATAATTTACTTTTTTTTCTAATGCTTCATATTTTCATATATTTAAGTTTTATCATTTTGACAAGAAGTAATTTTTAAAGAAGTCAGTTTGACCTGCCTTGGATTAAAATAAATCAGTGCCTTGGTTTAATTTTTGGATAGAGACAGATTAAACTTTAATAAAGCCCGAAATTATAGTTATACGTATTTTGAAATTCAGATAAACAACTATAATCCCTGAAATATTTCATAATTAAATTTAAGGTAACTTTGTAGAAATTAATTTCGATATGAGATTAGTATTAGGATATTTGCTAAGGTTAACCAATTAGTTAGATATTTTGGAATACTTTTTTTAAAAATAAAAAAGCAGCGTAATTAAATAACTGAAAATCAAATGTTTCGTTGAATTGATTATTTTGGTTTTATAGAGTTAATTGGTTTTATCCATTTGTCCACACAAGAAATGGTCTCGTATACGATGTACAATTTTACTCTCTGAGTTTCGAACAGTATATTTTATGTAAGGATCAGTGATACTGCTATTTGACTGTTTAAATTAAAGTAAACAAAATGAAATTTAAACTAGTTATCTATTAGTTAAAACCTGAATACTTTCAACAATAACCCACTGCTTCACACCAAAGTATTTCAATCAATTTAATGTTTTGTTACACGTACTTGACATATTTTACAATTATCTTCATTTTCGAAGCTTATCATTTTATTTAGTAGTTTATCCTGTTCAATATTTACATCTCCAAAAGATTGGATACTTATTATTTGATGAGGATATTTAAACTTAACGCATAATTGATTCGATTGTTTAACGCAAAATATTCCGTAAGAAAACATGTTCCTCAACTGCATTATATAGATTCATGTTGTGGTTGGAAGGGGTGGTCAGTTTAATCCTTTACAAAAGCAATAATTCCAAGTTGGCAAATATTATTTTTCGTTCTCTATTCATTTCAAAACTTTCTGTAATTGATTTCATCATAATTAACATAAATACGTAGATAGATGATCGACAAACTTTTTATCAAATTGTCTTTTACGTAAAGTAGAGGTTTAGTGATTAAGGCACTTAACTACCAATTATCGGTTCTTAAGTTCGAATCCTGCTCCACTTCAGTGCAGACACTTGAGTATCAGTAGCCCATTACATGGTTAAAGCATATCTCAAAAGCCGAACACACACAAAATAGTACGTGTCAAGTAAATTGCACTAAATTATTCGCGCTTTAAAGGTGACTGAAATATGATATGCCAAGTATTTTCTCCCATCATTCACTAGGACATCTAAAAACATTCCTTATTTTATCCAAATTCTTGCTTATCGGGGTAGTCATGTATACATATTTCAAATTGACTATGTTATCAGTGAAGGGTACACGTGGTCGTCTGGATCCACTTGTAATGAATATATATACAGTTAAATGCCTATATCAATAATAATAACAACATTTAGTGAAAACGTTTGCCATCATAACATAAACATAATCAATCGAGAGAAAAAGAGAAACATTTTTATTATCGGATAAATTCTTCAACATATTTAGTAATTTCAAAACCATAATTAGTTAAATATCAGAATAAAGTTGTTTTTTTTTCTTCTCGATGATGACAAATATATTTTTATAATTAACATGATAAAATATTTCAAATACAAAAAATCTTTATTCAACAAAACGAAAAAAGATTCTTTTCGAAATCAATTTGTAAGAACTATTAGATAAAGGTTTGTAAGATGGCGGTATATAATTTTGTAAACATTCTATTCTGTTCAATGTAATTTTTGTAGAATACATAAATTTTATTGATAATGATTATAATAAGTAAGTGGGTAATAAAATTGAAATTTTCTTTACGTGTTTGCACTTACGTGCGTATTTGTGTGTTTTTATATGTGTATATGTATGCCAATTGATATAAGAGAACTAAATTTCCATTGAATAATACTATTATTATTATTAGTTATTATGATTATTACAGAATAAATAAATTGTTCATTACGCGTAGTTATGAAATGGTTATCATTCCGTCGAATCAAGTCAAGTAGTAATAAATATATTCCTATGAGGGGATAAGTACAAGAAATATTAACTAGCTTTGATCATGTTTCTCTAAAATAACACTTGATATGTTATGGTTAGTAGTTTTTTTAATACTAGGATAATGTAATGTTTACAAGAAAGCTAATTATAACTACCGTATTAAGTTAAATGGTTTAACGCTAAAATACTAGAATGTGTTCGGATAGATCATAAATTGATATCAGTTGAAGAATCATTGGAATCAGAAAGCATTGATTAACTATTTTGCTCTCAGTTCAGGCTCCTCACTTACTTGTTGTCTTATTTTTAAAAGGATTCAAAACTAGGACCAGGTCTTCCACTACAATTCAAAAAATTGAATACTGTCACCCTTATCGTTGGAGAGGATATTTGTTGAAACAGCATAGTGAGTGGTCAAAGGATAACTATTTCTTTTAGATGTGCATAGTTCATGGTAGCTATTCAGTCACATCTGGTAGTACTTTTTATGTGAAAAAAAAACGAATTCGGGGACATAATTTAGCAATAAACTCGTTCCGTATAATTGATCTTGATAGCTAAATATCTTAAAAGTGTGAATTGTATTCTCTCAGAACTGATGGTTTTGACAGATTCTCGAGGTTTTTGGATTAATTAATTTTACTGAATTCTTCACCTTCAGAGTGCATACTTATCCACATAAACTTATCAGTCATAGGAAAAACCAATTCTAGATTTACCTGAATGCGCATTCTTGTCTAAGTAATGCGATCCTTTGGCTTCCTCTCTGTGTTATAATCCACAATTCTTCCTTGGGTTATTTGGGTGGTTAATTTACATTACCTCTTTATCTTTGCTCATTCATCTAAGTTTTATCGTTATGTTTAAACAATGCTCAGTAAGTAGTTGTTTGCAGATTCACATAATTGGATATTGGACTTAAAGTCTCCTATAAAATTTTCGAAATTCAAGCGCTTTATTCATCATGCCACCGCTCCTTCAAAACCTAAGGTAGTTAGAAAAGCAAATTTTAGATATATAACTTCTTTCGGTCAAAGTTTGGAACGATTTCCCTTTTTTAGACATATCTGTATCACTGAGTTATCATCAATTGTCAAATTATATAATTCCAATATATAGAAGGTGACTTCCGGTAACGGATGCGGATTTACTCAGTTTCAATTTTCCTCCAAGTCTTAAACATTCAACTGGTTCACTGTCCTACACAAACTATGACCCTGTTGTCGTAGATTAGATTAATAAGTCATTAACTTCAGTATAATGTCAGTGCATAAAATCTCAGATCCTTTGCAAGTTTCACATCTATCAATGTATATCGTTAGCCCCTTTTGGTTATGAATAACAAATTATTAAACAAAATCTATCCGATGGTCTATTTTTAACTATTTAAATCTGATGATCGGATATTCCTACTAAATACCTTCATTCTATGGTATACAAATGAATATTGAATGTTTTTGAAATTCTCTTGAATGCTTTTCATTGCTTCGATTAAACTTTATACATTCTCACTAAATTCATCGTTCTTATTGTCTACCGTATAATTGGTATTCAAAGAGAAAACTAATCAAGTTTATGATTTAAGCTTTAAACCAGTAGCTATTGAAGCACTGCACAGAAGTATATACTGTTACTCGTCTTTTGTGATGAATCAGTAGAATTAGTCTAGCAGTATATTTGTGTTAATAGTGGTGTATCTTCTGATACCATTGTACTTTCATTAAAAGCCAGGATGCATTGTATAAATTAGTGCTACTTATGATCGTCTTTGAATGTAAACAGTGAAGAGATATGATACGTTTATGATAAAAGCAGAATGGAAGATATAAGGCTATTAGATTAACATTTATTAAGTCCTCACAACTATCTAACTAGAATCTCAAAGATTGTGTAGTTCAATTGCTTGATTTATTTAGACATAATTTAGCGTATAATCTTTTATATATCTCTTTTGATTAAAGTAAATCTGTCTTGTTTGTTTCCTCATTGGAAGTGTTTAACTGAAGACATCTTATTCTTGTGTTGAGTTATTTAATTTTCATATGATTTCCCCGCTTACTTCTTTGTATGACGCATTTTTTAAAGCTCTGTTTTACCAAGCTTTTTCTCACTGTATAGTATATCTTCGCTTAGTGAAATTAACTCAACGTGTTTATTTTCTCACGCTCGAGTTATAAGCGAAAAATGTTCATTGACACACGAAACCTGTTATCAATAAATCTGGACAACTTCTAAATACATTAATTTGTTTTTTATTATATTTTTTACTAGAAGGTATTTGACTGTTAATTTCATACTCAATTATGAGAATGAATTCATCGTAAAAAGATCTGTTTTCCGTAGTGATCTACTCTTGCTTCCTGTATAAATTTTAATGGGTTATATATGTACATATTTATCCCATGTCCCAAGATTTTTACAATTATTTTAATAGACTAGTCACTACTTTATCGTTTCGGAAATCGAGCAAAGTCATTCTAAGTGAAAATTAACAAAATCCACACAGTCATAACAAGCTTGTAACCAGTCTCCTGTTTTGTATACTTGTTGTAAGCGAACAATTAAATATTTGTAGGAAAAAGCAGAATAAAACTAATTTATTTGTTGTTACTATAACAGGGTAAATATTGAGCACAACTGAACTTTGGAAACTGTTCTACATGAAACTATTGTTTGCAATTTTACTGTCTAGTTACCGAATACTTGAATTATTGTATATTTTTATTCCTTTAGTTGTAGGTTTTCGTTTGACTTATAAACTATTGTTATATGTTTTATCTTTCTCAAGTTGCTCGGTTATCTTCCGCCTATGGCGTGGATATGCCTATTTTTTAATTTCTTAATTATATTAATGTATGATCAGGATTTTATTCTTTTTTTGATTGTGAGAGTCATAAAACTGAATTTTGCAGATAAAAGTTGAAGAATCTGCTGTTTCGTTGTCCTGTTATAGCTATTGGGCAAGCTAGCTTAGGCAAACTGCATTCATGGACTAATAAGCGTCCAGCATTAATCTCGGCTTTTATTTCACTGTCATTGAATCGTTGGCCAATGAAAGGTCATTGTATCCATTGGTTCTACGCCGGGAGTATAAGGGGCTTAATCAATGCTCAGACTAGATAGATCATACAACTGCCCCCATAAATACAGCTTGGCCAAAAGTACCTCAATATAATGTGAAAAACGTTTTTTTTGTCATAATGCTAGTTATAAATTCCAAGAAAGAAACAGATGTAAATATATCCTGATGGCCACGCTACTTAAAATGTCTAGTATTGGGTCCCTTTAGAAATGTTATCCACTACTTCATATATATAACTGGTGTAAATTAGCCCCCTCTAAATTAAGGTAACGTTGCATCTAACAAGTTTAGTGTATTGTATAACTATTCTACTACGCCTTATATCCACTAAGCTTCCGATATTCCAAAGGCCAAACAGACAAATAGCAACCTGCAATACTGTATGGATTAATTAATATTTTTATTTACACATTGTTGAGGTAATTACAAAAATTACTTACTATGAAATTTTTATCCCATTCGGGAAAACTATTTACTGAAGTCAAACTATTTATTATCCTTCACCGTTTTCTCAAAGTTTTCATGATCACATACTTCACTCTATTTTATTATACCATCAATTACTGTATAGGTAACGACAATGTACAAAATAGTACACTGCACATAAATAATCAAATTTGTTAATTGGTTTAATATGATTATTCTGTATGTAAATGATACATTTGTTAGATCCCGTGATTTAATTCATTAACTAATATTTTTCTAAGATACATCGTTGTTCTTGCGTTCACTCATATTAATTGAGGGAAATCTAATAGGGAGAGAGAGAATATGTATGTAGGTGGGCAGGTGTCATAGAATTTTATGACTCAGCAATAAAAAATCAGTTCAAACGATTACTTATTGCTTCAACTATGCTTTATTTTATTAAGCAATAATCCAATTTAATTGATTAGGATAAAAAAGAACTATATGTCTTAGTGATAATGCTGTTAAACAACTGGTTAACATTTTTATTTTGTTGTTCATATTTCAAACAGCTTAGCCTTTGTTTATTTTTCATTAAAAGCCATCATCACTATTATAAATCGTAGTATGTGTAAATAAGATAAAAAAATTTGGGAGTAGGGAGAAGCTTATTAGTTCGACTGTCATTTAGTGGAGAAAGTTTTTTGCCACTGATATTTTGTGTGTTTATTGCACACGGAACAATTTACCATACTATACTACCTTTACTTTCCTCCTGAAGGTCAAATTATTCTGTTTGGCACGAACGATGGTATTTATTATCTTGATTTAGTCAATTTAGCTGATGGTACATTAGAGTTGGTAAGTGTGTTTTACTTTCTCTTTGCATTTATTTTATTGTCTGGTTACAAAATTAATTGATTGTTGTAATCAATGAATCTCTTGTTGCTTTAGATGTGCGCACATATATGTGCATACAAATGCATTTATGTAATTAATATATGTTGACTTTATAATGTATCACTAGAACTAATTGTTGCTATCATGATAACTGTGAAACTATCTGATAAAATTTCCGTTAGGAATATTTATATACAACATTAAGACCAAGATCGAAGCCTATGTTTTACTTGCCTGTGAAAATTATCTGACGCAAACTTAAACCTCCGTTAACTACGGTGGTTGAGGAATGTGTCACACACAAACCCAGTCTCTGCCTACCCGAAGATGTACTATTGCCTAGTTTAGGCATTGGTTTGCAGGATAAAAGTGGACATATTGGCAATCCATGGTTTAGGTACTGGATTAGTACAAATTTTTATCGACTTAAAAGATACAAATGTTTTCATAGTTTTCCTCCTTTCTGATTTCATTCGTTGTTTTCAAATTACCTCCTCATAATTAACTTACAACCTTGGTAAAATCATTGCAACTCTTAATTTCCATAATTCTGTCTTTCTTCTCATTGAACTAATCTGAAGTTGGACTAATACACATTTCTGTCATGTCCTATGTTGACGACTAACTTACTTTACTCTCTTTGAAAAAAAATGTGATTTAAGTAATCACTACAATATCACTGTTCATCTGAATAGAATACGTGATGACATTTCTTAAGTGCTACTTATCAGTTCCCTAAACCCTACAAGTTCGCTTTGCTAAAAAGTGCTTACTGCAACAGGATCCACGTTCATGCTTTCTTGTCGGTTGCCTCCAACAACCTAAAATACAATGTTTATCTCTGTCTGAAGACTTTTATATAAAAGTTTCAATATATTTTGCATATATTCCGTGAGTAGCATAGAACTATCTTCGAAACTTCACAATTATTGAATTTTTGTTTAAATTAGATGATAATTTTTTTCAATAGCCAATCCGGATATGACTTTGTCCGTAATAGTTAAATTGCGTTTCAATAGTATTTTTTAAATGTATTAGTTTGTGCATATTAACTTGTTATGAATGTTTGAGTGTATGTTGGAACGTGCGTGTGTGGATATATTTCAATTCTCAGTTTTGCATAGAAATCATTAATTCTCTACCCTTTTTTCTATCGAACACTTGGCTTCAATGATATGTATGCTATGAACAAAAGTTATTACTGTTCATATTTATGTTTTAAAATTCACAGGGACTCGACCGATCTCGTCTCATTTTCCAAAGATCCGGATTTCGTTTAAATTTAACGACTTTTTTTAACGATCATGTCAATATCGATAATTCTAAAAATGGAGGATTCTCCACATGGGAAAATTCGTGATTAAGTAAAAAAACGTATCGAAAATAAATTGGTATTTCCTAACTGTAATACCATTACTTTATGGTTGCAGATGAAAGTTAAGAAAGAAATATATTTTTATGTGCCTCTATCTAGTTAACATCACAATTTCACAAATACGTAACATAAGTACTGTGTGCCACAAGTTACATGTTTTTCTCTGCAATCAATCAGATTCCAATTTCATCTAATCTATTTGTAAACAGACATGAATAACGTAGAATCCTAGTAAAAATATTTATTTGTCCAACTTTCGACATTACCAAGAAAAGTAAAAAGTGATTAAAAAGCCAGAACTGGTCTAAAATTAGAATTATGACAAAAAATCTATAGGAAACGAATAATAATGGGAGTCGACAGTATGTTTAGCAACTTTATAGAATATAATGAATGAGTATACTTGGATCGTTTCGGTTAATTTCATCTCATGTCCCTTAAGCTCTGTATTCATTAATTAAACTTTCCCCAAGCCCCTTACAATACACCCTAGTCCAACTAGTCGACGACTTTGTAGACTCGTGTTGTCTTCGGATCTGGTTCTCTCTAGTACTTGTACAAAATAATTAGTTATCATGGTTACGTTGAATAAGGTGAAACAAACGTTTTGTGGACACAACAGATGTTACCTACAAATGCACTTCATTATTGTTGGTTTAAACCACTCGGTTAGTGAGTGACCACAGATGCCTTAGAAATATTGCTCGCATCTACTGAGATCACCGGGTAAGTGATAGTGAGGTTCGACGCAAGGTATTAGAGAATGATGGTAAACCAGTTGATGAGGTTGTGAATCTTCATCGACTGAGATGGTTAGGTCACGTGTTACGAATGCCTGGACATTGATTACCACGACGCACAATGCTGACTAGTGTTGGGAATGGTTGGAAGAAAGTTAGGGGCGGCCAAACTAAAATGTGGCATCAGTGCTTGAAGTCGCTAATTTTTGGTGTGAGTCATGTTGGTAGATGCAGACTACTTGATTGGGGTCTGTGTGACTATCGCAGCCAATGGTTGGAGACTCTTGATGACATGGCTCAGAATCGATCACAATGGCATCGGTGTATACACTCTTTGTCTCCCTTTAACCTATGAGATTAAAATCACTTCATATCTTTCTTTCTACGAACTAATTCTTTCTTCCTGTACTATATACTTATATGCAATCTTTCCTTTATATATTACATTATTGAGTTAACTGCTTCTATGAATCTGGTGTTCATCTTGCTGTGTTAATGAAGTGTGGCAACTTGGACCGATGCATATATGTGCCTAGTCCCACGTCGTAGCTGACTGACTGAGTGCTCTAGTTGTTAAATAAATATATATATATATATATATATATATATATATATATATATATTACAAGGGATATAAATTTCATAAATACATAACCTTTCAATTTTTTTAAGACGACCGCTTCATAAGATTATTCTTTCGCTTTCCACTTATTAGCTTGTTCCAAGACGATGTCTTTGGTTATTTGTATTCAAAGATACCATGATGTCAATATCAGGTCAACATCCTCAATTATTTAGTCATAATTTAATTTCATTGATGAAAAGTCGAACATCACAAACACGATTTCTTCATAAGTAAGTTTCTGGGGGCAGGATATGTCCCCTCGCTATGTTTCATTCTTGCATGTCAAGAGGTTTTATTTATTTCATGTGGACCATGTTAGTTACAAGGAAAATCGCTATTTATATCTACCTCTTTTTCACAAGCTGGAAATGAAAACTTATTAGATATCCTATTGTGTGAGCGTGACAAGAGATGCAATGCTAGACAATGTATTTTATCATTTAGTTGCATGTTAAGGGTGACTGAAATTCAACGAAAAGTAAACTAAATAAAAATAAGGAGAATTCAGCGAAGAAATTTTTCTTTTCAACGAAATCATTTACCTAAATTAAATTATCACTTTCTTCAATGGTTAATTTCATTTAAACGTGTATGATATCAATCTCTACTACATCATTTTCCTAATCCTCAGTTAATTCAACAGTTCCCTTTACCGTGGATGGTTATGACATTTTCCAATTCTAACCACTTCGTAATTATAGTCCACTCGTCACTGGCAATCGTCTGTTGTCATTATCGGATGAATTTTGCATATGAGTTATCGCCGTCTATTGGAATATAAGGAACACTTTCATGAAGGATTCCACCAATGATAGCGGACTGCTACTCAGGTTTGTTGAATAATTCCAGCACTGTTTACTCGACAAAGATATTTGTCATTATTCATGAAGAATGACTTCAATAACCCGCGTATTTGAGACACGTTACGAGCCTACAGAATAAACGAAGACTAGATAGTCAATGAAAGTATTGCCTTTTTCTAATAGTTTGTCGCAAAAATGAAAACACTTTATGAAGCATCTCTATCGGCCTTTAGTTCAGTTGTCCACCATCCGATTATAACCTGAATAAGTCAAGGATAGTTTTCACGCACTAAGGAAATAAGTTTTCCCAATAATTTCTTGAAATCAGTCGTCATTGTTATGTAATCAACATATTTCTCTTCTTAATTATAACGTGTACATAGTCAATTATACAATTGGTCTGGAAACTGTAACATTTTTTTGCCTTATAAATTGAGCAAATGTTCAATGATGTATATATATCCAATTAATTTTATATGAGGAGCTCTGTTTACGCTTGTTGTACAATAGCTATCGGCATCTTTTAAAACCGATAACAGGTACACGTATCTCTCTGTGTTTGTATATATATGCACACACCATGCGCTCTTTTGACTTTGTGACTTAGAAAGTGCAATGGGAAAGATCTAATTTTAAAAATTCATTCGTAAAACTTTGAATAGATTTTTTTCTCTACAAAACCATTTGTGCTCTCTGTACTAAAACTTTTTGGATTATAATTTAGACTGTCTGAAATTCCATTCCTTTTTTGGCAGATTATATTTAATTTTCAATACACTTGGCATTATTATTATCTTTGTTGTTTCGAGTCGTTTTTCTTTTTCGTATTGCATTAATACGACTGGAAAATATGGGATATGTATATTTGTTCTCAGGCTTCTATGTTCTGTATATGTATGGTTAATTGATTCAATTATAAGCTACTTATATCCACCTCAAATTGTTGAAATGTAACGATATATTAGTAAAGAATGTAGAAGTTATAAGATGATAAAGTGTTTCAGGTGATATGTGACTAACTGAACAAACATATTTTTAGAAGTGATTTATGTATAATCGAAATAGTAGTGATAATTTTTATTGATATTCAAGATCAATGATTTTGGTAGGTTTGTATTCTCTAAAATCAAAGTAATTTCAATTTGAAGCTTACATTACTTTACTACAAGTAAACTAACAGCTTATTCTGTCGATATTAAATTTGATTGATTATTGTCAACGTTTATCCTGTCATTCTTTGCAGACAAATATCAGGAAAGATAATGAAAGCTTCAAGGTTATACCATCTAACTCAAAGAATACATTCTCGCCAAAAACGTATGGTCATTCAGTATTATGAATTTATTTATAGTTCTTATCATGAAGTAATATTAGTTTAAAAATCATTAGAAACCAAAATGTATTAGACGGTTCTCTTTTGTTTCGTAAGTTGTGACAGCTGGGAATCGCTCATCTATGACTTAATACTGTATCATGGAATTGTTTTTAGGACCTCTTCGAAATTCATACACCTAGCTGGCATAATGCTTACCACGACTAAACAATATTTGAAATTTGTTACATAAAAAACAGCTTTAGTAAATTAGTCATCCATTGTGTTTCATTATAAGAGAAAAACAAGATACCGATTTCAGTAAATAACTAAATGGATGTGCATGTACATTTTTTGTTGACAGCCAACATCACAACAACTACAAAATGTGCCTTTCCAAATTAATCTATTTAAATAGTTTTGAACAGTTTGTTTTAAATTATTGATCTGCAATATGGTGATGATTGATGAATGAGTGTGACGATGATCACTGAAATATAACTATAAACAAAATGCACAATTTTTTGTGTTCAGTCAAAATTATTTCATCCTTTTTATCTGTATATAGTGAAATGACAATATATAATGTACTTTATAGTCTGTGTGTTAAGTTATCATATATAATCTGTAAACTAATGGAAAGATCAGACAGTTAAATGGAGTAGGGATTTTTTGCAACTGACAAAAGTAGCATTGTACCGTATGTTAATCTACGCAACCGTTTCGATGATAAAACGTATAAAGATGTAAGAATGATATAAAGTACTTTGATGTATCTGGCGATAGTTGAAGACGTGTTGAACAACAACTTTGTTAATTTTCTATGGGAGACAAAATGTGCATTAACGCTGTCAAGGAAAGTTTTCTTAAAATAACGAATATTTGCCGATTGATCTATCGATTAAGCATTGCGTAAATCTAGTTAGTAACTTAGTAATTAAAACCACTAAGTTTTCAACTGTCACACAGCAATTTCGAACCCCAGATTCGTCTTAGTCAGCTGAGTAGTATCACTAGCTTTTGTACGAAAAAGCTTGTAATTGGAAGCCTATTACATACGTTCATCGATTGCTATTGTTTAGATAACCTACTTTAATAGATGTTTTTTTAAATCAAATAGTCAGATAGTTGTTCTTTTTTCCTTCGTGCCATTTTTAAAGACTACTTTTCTCTTTCTTTGGTACGTTTCGGAAACTACCTATTATTACAATACCACTTACCTTTGTCATAATGGTGACTAGTTTACTACATTAAATTACTCTTAAATAATTGACGTTAGGCTGAGCATTACGACTTCTTCCTCTCGGGGAGGGGAAGATTGTGGAGGTGGGCGGATGGTGAAATGGTATGTCGGATTTTAATGTCTGTTTAATCTTTATCTCTTTTACACGCATACTATCATGTTTAAGGCGTTTTCAACCAACTGTCAAAGTTCCAGACACACGGGGTTGTTACATTGCAACTGTAGTACGTAATCAATTCAAAGGGATGAAATATTTATGTGGTGCTATTGATAAAAGTATCCTTGTTATGGAATGGTATAATCCAAGGAATACGTTTATTGAAGTGAAACGTGTAAGTCTCTGTGAATATGTATAATTCTATTAACTCCGTTTTTTAATTTTAGCCTATGAACTAAACCTTGAAATAATTAAATGGAGCAAAATAGAACCTGATATTTTCTAATTAGTACACTTTACAGCCATAATTCTAAAACTTTGAATTCCTATATAATAGTAAGTATCAGTAACAACAAAAGGAATATTGAGTACATCTGTACCACCTTGTTCATTTTCAGCGAATATGAAACAAGTGTTTTAGTCTATGGTTCTTTCAGTCAGTCAGTCATCTTTGAAATTCTTCGGATAAACGATTAGTGAATTCTTGAGTCGAAGCTCTATGTATCCGATCCAACATTGTCTAAGCCAGAGCGACACAGGTTTTGACTATCTTAATAAATGGATATTCATAAATTATTCACTTAACAACGTATGTGTGTGGAGGTTTGTGGAGATTATTGATTGGTATTGATATTAAGAATCAGTATAAGCTAGATATCCATTTAAAACCAGAAAGCACGGAACAGCTAATAAGTTCTGGTACGGTACTTCTCACCAGTGTGCATCCATAAACCCACAACCGGTGATTGAGCTCAGGACCCTCGGTCTCACGCGTTAACGCTGGGCTCCAATATAGATTTTTTGAGGTTAAACATATACGCCAATGAATTGCGGCTCAATGGTCTAGTGATTAATCGTTTGCACGCAAGCTGAGGGTCCTGCTCTCCACTCATGATCGTGAAGTTGTAGGTGAGCACTGTTGAGGAGTCTCATACTAGAACGTTATAGCTGTCCAGTGTTTCCTAGTTCTCAATAAATGTCTAACACATTGGTCCGTCGCATTTGGTAATAAGTACCTATGTTGTGATCATGCTTCTACTTACATAGTATCAGCCAGTCATAAGTTTTTAAGCTCAGTCAGTCCGTCAGAAACAAAGTAGAACTTTGTACGTACGTACATCAGTTCAAACTTCCATACCACATTAGCACAGAGATACAATTGTCGATTCAAATTCCATAGTGGTAGAGATAGTAAGTGTATAAACAGTAGTCGGAAAGATTAGGGTTTGAAGATGTTATTCAAGCAGCATAATCCACTGAAATAAATTTGGAAAACGAAAAAAGAGACACGAAAAACTCAGAAGATTAGAATTCGGGAGAACACAAAGATTGGATGCACCTGCGCCATTAGAAGCGATTTTGAGCTATGTCATTCAAAGTCTCTAACCATCGGTTGCTATCATCTCGTGGTCCCCAACCAGGTAGTCTACACCTACCTGCATGACTCAGTTCACTTGTCAGTGACTTCATGGACTTGTGCCATGTTTTGGTTTGGCCGCCTCTAGCTTTCTTCCAACCTACTCCTATACCACTGAACATAGCACGTCGAGGTAGTCGGTCGTTGGGCATACGTAACACGTGTCCCAGCCATCTCAACTGATGAAGTTTCACTACTTCATCAATTGATTTGCCATCCTTACCTAGTACCCGTTTCCTAACAACTGCGTTACTTACTCGATGGTCCCATGATATACGAGCAATGTTTCGAAGACATCTATGATCGAATACCAGTAACCTACGAATATCCTCTACTCTTACCGACCATGTTTCACTGCCATAAAGTAGGACGGAACGAGCTGCTGTGCAGTAAACCCATCCTTTGGTTGGTAGACGGATATCTCGCCTACGCCACAAATGACGCAAGTTGGCAAAAGCTAGTCGAGCCTTCTGTATCCGTGCTGAGATTTCGTCACACACCAAACCACAAGAGCTGATGAGACTTCCAAGATAAGTGAAGCGGTCGACACACTCAACTACTTCACTCCCTATCACTAGTTCGGGTGTCGATGTAACCCAATCCTGAAGCAACATTTTGCATTTCGAGGGAGAGAATCGCATCCCGAACATGCTTGTATTGTTGCTTAGAGTGGTCAGAAGACTCTGCATTTTGTCAGCGTCTTCACCAAATAGAACTATGTCATCGGCATATTCCAAGTCAACAAGTGAACCTCCCGGTAGAAGTTCAACCCCTAGAAAGTCAGATGAGCAAAGTGTTATATCTAAAAGCACAGCAACGACAAAGTTAAGCAAGAATGGAGAGAGTGGACAGCCCTGACGAACACCACTTGAGGTAATCAATTCTGATGACAGTTCGCCATAAGCTCTCACTCTACCAGTTGTGTTCGAGTAGAGAGCCTTTATAAGGTTAATGTACTTCTTTGGTACTCCTTTCAGTGACAAACACTGCCATAGAACCTCACGATCAACAGAGTCGAATGCCGCCTTAAGGTCGAGAAATAAGACTATTGTGGGGCGTCTGAATGTGTGTGTGTTCTAGAACCTGACGTAGTGTGAATATGTGGTCTATACAACCACGTCCAGGTCGAAAACTGGCCTGGTTTTCTCTAATCTGCTCTTCACGAGCTTTGGTTAGGCGTCGAAGTATTATTGAAGCTAATATTCTAGACACTATATTAGTCAAACTGATTCCTCTATGATTGTCACAAGAGGAATTTTGTCCTTTCTTATAGACTGATACAATCAGTGGTTGAGACCAGTCAGATGGGATTACGTCCAGTTCCCAGATTCTACCTAAGGCCTCAGTCAACGTCACTGCTAATACTGGACCGCTATCCTTAAAAATCTCGGTGATAAAGCTGTCAGGGCCTGATGTTCTTTCACGCTTCAGATTTCTTATAGCTTTTTCAACTTTGTAAAGAGTTGAAGGACTTACATTAACTTGCCATTCAGGTTGACTGGAGATCGTGGGAGACCGAAGTGTGGCTGGAGGCCATTTGAACTGATCCCTAGTGTTCTGCCCATCGATCCAATCTCCTGGGTTGAGAATGTATAATATCTCCATCTTTTTCGGAAATACTTTCGCAAACAGTCGGGTTACTAATACTGGTTTCCTTAACAAGTCTGAACAGTTGTCTGCTATTACCTATTGCCGCTGCCTTTTCTATCTCTCTTGCTTTCGCTACCCACCACTGTTCACGGTCATTGCGTTGGATTCTTATCAGCCTGCGCTTGAGTTGACTCCGCTCTTCGTCATGTTCAGAGCTAGATGGGGTGAGTTTTCGAGTATCAATCAGTGCCGTGGGTGCTGCTGAGATCCAGTATTTCTCCCTAACCTTACTAGCAGATATCACTACTGTTTCCACAGCTTTCCGGATATCATTACATGCTGCCTCAGGTTGGGCATCACATACATGGGTGCCTAACTGTTTTCCTAGTTGTTCCTGAAATATATTCTTAGCTTAAGCTTGTGAGCTGCTTTGTTTACAATACTTGTCTTTAACATAACCTATAGAAATTTTTAATTAATCTCTCTATTTTAACCAACTTCAAACAATTTAATGATTTGATGATAGTTTTCGTCACAGACTGACATCAACTTATAAACCCCTGAAGATCATGTTTTCGATTTTTTGACAAATTTTGTGATTGTTTTAAGAAATACAATATATCTGCAAAATAACTAGTTAGTATATTAAATAAAACCAAATGAAAAACAAAAATTTATTGTTAAGAATTTTTAATTGGTAACTATTAATTGTAAGCACTTTGGAAGAAGAATTAGCATTAATCCATGTATTTGTAAAGATTCATATTCAGTACTTTTAGGTAGTGTTATTTTTCTACTGCATTACAATTATTATTTTCAATATCGAATTCGGAATATCTTACTACTATCTGGTTAAAATCTAGAACAAATTCCCCGCTTTTCTTTATGCATAACATGGTGCTTCCGCTACATAATTAACAGCACTTCAATAGTATTTTCCTTATCATGGTGATAAGAGAGAAGGTGGTGTATAGCAGCAAGACTTTTCTATTCCAGGCGAAGTTAAAAAGATAATGCTATAGATCTGCTTAGACAATATCAACGATGACCTTGGAAACATAAGATACCAAACTTGATCTGGAAAAATCTAATCAGAGAATAACGGATGTTTGCGTAGTTACTGTGTTATCGAGGTAGGTTATCGTTGACTTCCTCATCCACCAGAACTTAGAATTATTAATAAAAGGAAATAGCTAGATAAATTGAGGTCTTCCTATCGCATTGATACATTTTTCATAATGCTAATGAAAAAGATCCATTTTCTCGGGATTCCATATATATTTCTTACTGACGGTTGCCAATTAGCACGAAACGTGAATCCTCAAGATGCCTTGGTGACTGCCATCAATCACCAAGTTTATCGACATACCTAGGCAACATGACCATTGGCTATTACTTTTTGATAAATCTATGTAATACGTTTGTGAGCTATGCTACCAGTTAGCGACTCCATGTTAAATTGTGATGAAATATGACCACTGCTTACCCACTTCTTCCTTCCCCGTCCACTAAAGACAGAAGTTCCAGCTCGTCTAAAAGTTTTACTGATAGATACCGAAGAAGAATGATTCATGTTCAACACCACTCAATTAAATAATGATTGCTTTCAGTGATTATTAGTTAGAAAACTTGTCGAACTGAATAAATGTCACCTTACCAAAAAATCATAGTGAATTAATGAAAGTGCACTGTAGGTCAAATCAATGTAATTCACACGGAATCAGTTGGTATAATCAAAGTGCACTGAAAATAAATAAATAAAAACTGCTTTAATCAATATGTGATCTGCAATACTGATTACTTCCTAATGTGTTGTGCATGACTACTTAATATCCCTAACACTCTTCTTTAATATAGTGATTGTCGTGGCTCCACTTAAAATTGAACCGTTCACCGCCCTCGTATGTTTAGCCATCAGCGACGTAGGTCTAGTCGCCCTAGCTGTGCCATTTCTATACTTCTTTCTACGTTGTTGTTCTACTGTGGTAGACTGAAAGTGTCTGTTAGTATCTCCATCTGTAAGTTGCTTGTTGGTATCGTACGCTTCCCCACTACGCATCGTCGTAACTGATTAAGATACCTTTTCCATTTTTCCCTTCTAACCGCCACCTCATATATTACCTAACCCCGTCTCCCAGTTATTAACCACTCTGTCATGTTTTAGTCTGTAATCTCAGACCTACAGGAGATCCGATGTTGACCACTTTTTCACAGCTAATCCTTTTTGATAATATCTCAATTCACGACCTATTAGATTTTCTACTGTTGATTTTCGACTCGAAAGTGATTCTTTGAATACTGTCCCGTACATAAGTAAAAGGTTGTGCAGTATCTCGGCTGACTTTCTGTCCCCCTCCGGTTTCAAGATCTCCTTTCGAATGTGTCCACAATTTTCTCTACTGGTTTAGTTGGCTGAGGATGTTATAGCGATGAACGGATCTGTGTGATGAGTTTTCTCCAGAAAAAATTGGTTGTAGATAAATTGTAACACGTCTAACCCCACTCCAATAAAAAAATTATCTGTCAGTAACTAGAGAGCTTTATTTTTTTTGTGTCACCACAAAGAAAACGGTTATCCGCAATACATAATAGTTTACGTTGGTTAAGGAGTTTCTTTAGCTCTACATTAAGACGATTCGGTGACCGTACATTTTTGACAAATCTGAACTTCTGGACTAACGAGTCGTTGCTGTATTCAGATTGTATGTCTGTAGCCGACGTTAGTGAATGTCGAACACCATTTGACAAATGACACTCTAGGTAGTCTTCTATGGAAAGCACTCCTGTAATTGTTTCCTCTTCGATGATAGGATAACCCTCTGATTTACAAGGTTGTTTCATTAGATTACATACAGTACCTAAGAGCATATCGGATAACTTCGGTCAATCAAACCAATTATTTCCGAGTAAGTTTAGATCAGCTTATGTTAAGTAGTACACTTCTGTGAACATGTTTTCCCGGAAGCATATAGTACACTGTAATCTCCCCAGCAAGTCGTTCGAACAGTCTACTCTGGAATTTGCGTACGTTCCAACGCTTTGGTGATATGATGATAATGTCTATAGCTGCAACCGAGGTGACTACTCGTTGATACTCACTGTATGAAAATTCCTCTTGTCTGTGGGCTGTGATTTGACATATCTCAAACAAAATTAAGAAGCTCCCTACAGGTTTGAATATGGACTTTTTTAACGTCAAAACTAGAATCGAGAGTGTACTGGGTGTCAACACCCATCTCGGTGATCAACACATTTGCACTAATGGCAATGATTTTGTCTATGGAGACAGATTCTGACTAAATACCACTCTTCACTCTACCAGTACGGTGATATTAGCTTCTTTATGTTCACGGCAATAGAATCAAATGTTATGGACTAGGTATGGTAGAGTCAAAATTAGAGGTACCACATGATTTGTGTCTGACGGATTGTTTGGACTTTAGAATTGCTTTTGCTTCCCGAGTGAAATAGGATGGTATCGTGTTTAAAACCGAATATTCATTAGCAATATCACTTATTACCACACTCAAACATCTGTACCGGGTATTAAATAATTACTTATCTCCAAACTGCTAGCATGATATCATTAAACGTGCGATCACATGGGTTCTGAGTTAAGATTAGTTTACAATATTTATCTTATTCGGTCGGGTCCAGTTTTCAAAGCAGCAGTTGAGTCCTCCGTGCATCATCCTCGTCCACCAAGTCAAATTTTAAAAATCTTCCTATCGTCCGAACTATGTATTAGATGTATCATTAGAGTCTAGTTGGTAGTCGAGCTTTGCAATGCTGCTTGCAATACTATCGATAGGTGTAGGTATAATAAATGATGATGAATGTATAATAAATTATGCTTGTCAATTTAAGCTGCTGCCCAAGCAGAAAGTCTTCTTTGACATAATCTGTATTTCAAACCCATGAAAATCACCACGAACCAACATGTGATGTCTAAAATTGATTTCTTCCTAATATATTATGTTTGAGGATTTAACTCACCCAATAAATCTACATATATTATTCACATGTTTTTTTAATAATATTTTATCTAATTATTGTTGCTTTATTTCCAAAAAATTATTATTCAGGTTGAAGTACCATGTATGCCTAATCCATTGCTTAATTTCGATTTAATAATTAATCCAAATCAAACTTTGCCTACAGTATGCTTAGGTGTATCATCTACCCCAGATCCACTTGTCTATAAATTGCATCTTGTAAATTTAAATGAAAATTCAAATTCATCATGGTATACAAATCCTTGCCGATGTAAGTTTTATATTATAAATATGAGAAAGATTTACTGAATTGAAATCATGTATATCATTCACATCATACAACTACATTTAACTAATACCTTTATACCTGGCATAGTAGAGAAATATGAGTTCTTACGGTTTTTTATGAATTTTTAAACATATACTGTTTCACCAAGTTTAGATATATGCTACACATTACCCTTATATTACAGTATGGAATAATTAAGAAATCAGTGACAATTAAATGGTTTGGAGTGGAAGCTGTGTTGTTTTTATATTTTTCTGTGGATATATATATATTGTAAACAAGCTATCAATTCCACCATCTCCCCTCGCTTTTTTCATGTACATCTCTGTTTTTTTTCTCTTGAGGGAAATCTTAATCGATTCATAAGTCGGTTAAATTATAGTTCAGGGACGAGTTAATCAGAACCGAGTAGACTGTTTTCTATTTTTTCCACGAAATTCAAAAATGAATGACATTTATCTCATATCATGTCAAATTCCCTATAGAAGCATATTTGTTTATGGCTCAAAATTCTTAAAATTATTTGGAGAAATTCTTTTTAGTTACCCCACAGTGAAAAGGATGATGTTGAAAGTATCAAATGCTTAATTCTTTTACTTAAATTATATATAACACGTGAACCAAGGAGTTTCTGTTTCAATTTACTTTCTTTACTGCAAACTCCGATCAGTCACTTTATTATTGGTTTACTGAATAGTTAACAGGCTATTGAAGTAGGAATGCTAAAATAAATAACGTTTATCACACACGGTTTCTCCATATTGTTGTCTTATAACTTCATCTCGCTAAATTTTAGAGCATTCCTTAGCAAAGATCTGGTCAGTCAGTCAGTTACAACGTAGGACCAGGCATATAAATGCATCGGTCCAAGTTGCCACACTTCATTAACACAGCAAGATGAACACCAGATTCATAGAAGCAGTTAACTCAATAATGTAATATATAAAGGAAAGATTGCATATAAGTATATAGTACAGGAAGAAAGAATTAGTTCGTAGAAAGAAAGATATGAAGTGATTTTAATCTCATAGGTTAAAGGGAGACAAAGAGTGTATACACCGATGCCATTGTGATCGATTCTGAGCCATGTCATCAAGAGTCTCCAACCATTGGCTGCGATAGTCACACAGACCCCAATCAAGTAGTCTGCATCTACCAACATGACTCACACCAAAAATTAGCGACTTCAAGCACTGATGCCACATTTTAGTTTGGCCGCCCCTAACTTTCTTCCAACCATTCCCAACACTAGTCAGCATTGTGCGTCGTGGTAATCAATGTCCAGGCATTCGTAACACGTGACCTAACCATCTCAGTCGATGAAGATTCACAACCTCATCAACTGGTTTACCATCATTCTCTAATACCTTGCGTCGAACCTCACTATCACTTACCCGGTGATCTCAGTAGATGCGAGCAATATTTCTAAGGCATCTGTGGTCAAATACTAATAGCTTACGAGTGTCTTCTACTCCTAATGACCACGTTTCGCAACCGTAAAGTAGGACAGAACGAACTGCCGCGCAGTATACTCGTCCCTTCATTGATAGACGGATCTGGTACGAGACGGTATTTTTTCTACTAGATAATCTATAGTTATAAAAATGATTCAGAAAACAACCTTTGGCTTGAATAGATGAGGTCATACACTTCCACATGGTTGGAAAACTAATAATAATCCTTTAAGAAACCCAATAAACTCGAGACCACTATACCGTCACAGATTTCAGTGATTTTATTACAAAATATTTTTAATTTATACAGATTTTCGACTCGTTCGCTAAAGCATGACTTCAAGATCAACTGGTAATCTTAAGAATTGCTCAACATCGTCCTCATATATTATAGTTACTTTCGTTAATTCATCTACTTTATGAATATATCAATTTGTAATTTTTCTGTTATTATATATGACAATTGATAATTTTAGTTACTCTTAATGGTTGAGCAGTTAATTAAACAAGGTACATATATAGTCGTTTATTTATTAATTTAATTACTGCTTTACAACGAAAGTAGTGATTTTGTCTCGCGTTATATATATATATGAACTGGAATTTAGATAAATTCACCTTAACTTTCATTCGAACCGACATGTGTGTGAACACACCGAGAGAAGTACACAAAGTATGCAAATTATATAGCGATATTTCTTCTTTTTCTTTCTCCTTCATCATACTCATTCAGTAATTCATAAATGACATTGATTTTCTATTTTATTTTGAGGACAATTTTAAAAAGCAACACTTAACATGATAAAAGTATGTTTGAAAAAGTTGATTTGCACTGAACATGAACAATACTTTCATGTTCATGAGTGATGACGATCCTAATGTATAAATTTTGCATACTATTCAATTTTCGCTATTGATAGTTGTCTTTTTTTTATTAGTACACACAACACAGAGTGTTTTACATTAAACCTAAGACCTTTTTTGAAAGATCATATGTAATTGAATAAAAATCAATCAGTTAAGTTTTGTTTTATTGATCTGAAATGATATTATCTACTAGGTTATGCGGTAATATGAACAAAATAATAAATACTGATCGTTTATAATAAAAATATTTACAAACTTTAAATTTGACATTCAGTCAACAATTTGAATGAACATATTGGTTTTTTTCATTATTTAAACAAATGATATGATTGGTAAACTAAGAAAACTTTTTATTAATGACACATGAATAACAATTATTTGTGTAGTCATTTGCACATTCTATTTACGTACAACTGTAGTGTATATCGAACTCATAGACTGGTGAAAAAGTCGAATGTATTCGGCCCTTTGCGTTTTCCGAATCCTTATACACTGTCTGGATAATTGCGTACATTCAGAATCTGGAAATAACTTATGTCCTCAAAAGTCTAGCAACACATGAAACAACAAATTATTTGGAAAGCTGAACCTTTGACATTTTGAACAATGGGACGAATGTACAACCGCAAATGTAGAGAAATATTTTGAAAGACATTAAACTTATACATTCTAAATTTTATAAAATAGAACTTTTATAACTTATATTCATGTATTTATTGGGTAGGGTTATAATAATAGTTAATAGTGTTTAAAGGTAAATCGAGATTTTAAATTAATTCCTGTCACACAAATTGACTTGACTGATAGAATTATTAGAAAGTATAGATCATTGGATATGTGTTCCATTCTATGTTGAAATTCTGTAACAGTGCACAGACGCCAGATCGAAACTATCGCTCCAAATTATTTCAATGATCAACATATCTTTAGACTATGGGGTAAAAACTCAGTAATAGGAATCTATGACTTTTGAATTCTCAGCACGTCAGGTATTTGAGGAGGGTGAGTACTTTTTCAACATTGATTAATATTGAGAACTATTTTTATTGACTTTCGACTCATTTGGTTGTTGGCATCGTGCTCACATTTAATACCTGAATATACTTTGTTTGATAATAATTCGTATGTCATTAGTTATAATTAACGATTATCAGCCCTCAACTGAATATTTTTGAAAGAAATTACCACTCACCAATTGGTTGATTTTTTTTATGATGGAAATCCAAACCGTTAATTACATGTAAAATATTCAAACAGAAAAGTTGGTCAATCGTTTTAACAATACAAGCTACTTAAATTTTTCATAAGTAGCATACTTCATTGAACGATCATTACTCCAAATGTTAATCATTGACATAACGGTTGAATCATTATTATTTGTATAACTGTTACCTCTGTGTACATCGTTTCTTAGAAACAATTTAGCGAACACAAAAGAATTTCATTTTCAGCCAGTGTATATATAAATATTATTTCATGTAACGGAATGTGTGTATTGCAACGTTTTTTCAGCGAAATTCTTCATTGTTTCATTAAACTAGAAATCCAATAAGTTCTCCTAGCTACCTTTAAGTTTTATTCTTGGCTAGACGGCGTTTACTGTAAAATATAAACCTACTTTTCGTGTGCTAGTTTTTTTGTGAAAAATGTTTTATGTAACACCACATGTATACGTTACTACTGTCTGTTGTTAAAGTCTATCGCTATGACCACACAAATGATCACTTAGTTTGTATCGATTAGTTTTTCATTCTCTGTGTACCTATCTATTTATTTTTATGTTGCACACGCCCATGTATGTGTTTACATATCCCATGTATAAATGTATACACATAACTGGTTGAATATTACAGTTTGAATTCGGTCAATCACTTACACTCAGTGGTTATCGACAACTTCATTTTCAGCGCTAATAATAATAGAAGTGACAATCCATTTGTTATTTTTATTATTTCTAGTTATAATAATTTGTTAGTTATGATGATTAATTTGATTTTAACACGGTTTAAATACAGTTCCACCTAGTTTTCAAGTATTGATCATAACTGGTGAAATTGAACACCGGTTAACAGAGGGTTTATGGGTGGGTTAACGTATTACATAAAAATACAAAATCATAATATCAACGTGCATGTGATGCTTAACATTTTGTAATAAATGGCATTATAGTTCTATGGTATTTGTGCTAGAGGAATCATATGATTTCGTTATCTAGTTTGTCTGCATATGTGGACAAATATGTAGTCTTCAATGATTTCATCATTTTCTGTCTGAGTTAAACAAATCAACTTTGGGTGTTTTCATGATTGGTACTGTATGGTTAATTTTAATTTAATCACTAATCCATCGTCACAAGAATTCTAATGTAATTTAAACCATCCCTAACTTGTTGTCTCTGTGAGCATTTAGAACTGATCATTTTTCTATGCTTAACAATTGTTTACATGGTTTAACTATATTTAAATCTGTTTGTTGAATGTCAGTCTGATTATCCCGACAAATAAAAAGAACCACATCTTACGAACTACTAGTCTTCCTAACTATAATACAGTAATCGACTATAGTCGAACTTATTACTGGTATGCCTAAATAAATTGAACGCATCAAACTGAATCGCTTAGATAGTATACGTTGTTCTTTCACTACATTTGTTTCAATAATAAACTCTTGTTACATCGACTAAGTGATTGTAGGAAGTTATTTAAATTTTTTCAATGTTAAAATGAAATGTGAAATTCGTAGTAACCAATCTGTTGTGCTATTACGTTGTCTGTAATTTTACATTTACGCTGATGTTAGCTATCTTGTAATAAGTGAAAACTATCCTTACTTCACTTAGATACAAATATTCTAACTTCTATTTTGTTTGTCAAGTTTGTATTATATGAGAAAAATGGTCATCAATGAAGTGTTTTTTGTCAACCACTTGTATTGATGGAAAATATTACTGTTGGCTTGTAATGTATTATAACTTTGGGTCATTAATATAGGAGTTCTAAACTTGGCATATTAGTAATTAGTTTGGATTTCGTAACTTGATTATTACCCTGAAGAAGTCCAGACAAGTTAGCTGAACGAAACGTTGGAATTATTTAAATTTCTATCGCTGAGATTATTTCAAGTATATGCTATAGTATTTCTGTTGTAGTCAACCTCCAACCACCATCTAAATAAATGAACTTCGTCTATTGATGTTTTTACATATTTATCGTATTGCTACATTCCATTGAAATAACTATGCATACTATTGATGATGTGCATTTGTCCACTTATCTTGTTTTTAGTCTCAAATTATATTCCCTGTATGTTTTGTTTTGATTTCAGTTGAAGATCAGTTGCAAGTGATTAAAGTTGTACAGCTTGATACACGTTCGTTGTTAATTTGTTTTCCCAGTAAGTCAACTAATTAACTACCATTATTATTTATTTGTATTGGTTGCTTGAATATTCCCGTTGAATATTAGGATGCGATAGCGTTTGAAGCAAACGGTAATAGATCCGAGTCCCGGAGTGGACATGAACTCTGGGATGCAGGCAGATCCATCTGACAAGTCTCAAATAGGATGGAACGTGCATCCTGGATTTTACTGCTAGCCACCATCCACCTCTGCTTATAATATTATTTTATTCTACCTGAAATGAATATTAAAAGCTAAAATAGTTAATGTTGCTGTGTTTTTTTTTTAATTTTAGATAATGTGTAAAGATTGTTTTAATCATGTGTTTAATTGAGATCGACATAAGAATAATTATAAAGTAGAAAGCAATGAATATATGTTTCACCGTAGTCATGAATTGGTTCGTAGGTGTACATGTCTATAGTTTCACATGAGTTAAAACTCAAGACATTTATTTCATATGGCTAGCAGTACTATATTTTTGCCAGACTATTAAGCTACAATATAAATAGTCCGTATTTTCCTAATATCACTCATTTCATGATATAGAATGATTTTTGTCTGATGTTGTTTGCTGAATAAAACTGTATTTGAATTTTACCCTTTATTATTTCTTGGAATGGCTTTCATTTATCATTGGATTAAATTTTTTCAGTGGTCATGTTATTCTTGTAGTATACTTTTCCGTTCAGTAATAATTTTTTTCTCTGTCTGTTGGTGTTTCAATGTTTACCGTATTTTAATTTATTCTTGATTAGCACACGCCACAATGGTGAATATGAATGGACGTGTACTAGTTAGTAGAGATGGGCGAATAGCCAAATTCCCATTCGATACAACAGTTGACTCTATTGGTAAGCTTGAATATCATTGTTTTGTGTATTTAGTTTTTTTCGATTTTTTCATAACTGTAATTCTGTAAATGAAAACATAAATATTTCTTTGAATGAATAATGTGACATTATTGGATCAAACAAACTATCACTTTATTCCACCTTTTAGAAGTTTTCTGGTCAATTTCTCTCGTCCTAAAGAACTGATCCGGGAAGTCTAAGTATCCATGCATGAAATAGACTAGTTGTTAAAGACTTCATGGATTTGTATCATGTCTTGATTTCGTCATCGACAGCAATTTTCCAAATTAAACTCACTTTAGCTAACATCATATTTCGGTTTACATAATGTGACATTTGTACCACGTAACGTATCCACTCCCACCACTGTGGGTTCAGAAAATCTATTAAGTATGACAACACAGAATGGATAGTGCCGTTGTTTGAAAGATTGAAATAACCTGTCAGACACTAAACTCATTAAGAGGTGAATCTTTTTGAAAACGCGTTATGAGTATGTTCTTATTTTCAGTTACATAACTGATTGAATTTGTTATATAAAGCTAATGTAGTCTCTATTTAAGATATTATTAAAACATACTTCCTAGAGCTCTCCTTATAGTTAATGTTTTGAATAACCTACAACTTTGCATTGATATAGTTCAACAAATGAATTATTTATTTAGCTCAAATCCGTCGACAAAAGTAGACAACTATCACTTTGAAGTGTACTTTCCACTTCAAATATATTCTATTATATTTAAAACCATATGTTTATGACATTAAATAACAGAATATTGACAATCGGTACCTCAAAGCTTAACGGCGTTACAATTGATGAACTCACAAACGTTTGCTGGTGCATCTTGTGCTCTAAGCGTAATCTGTTTTTATTTTATAATTTTGATGAGTTTGTACATTTTAGTGTCAAATCAAACACTCCAATCTATTCCCATCCATAGTTAAGATATTTTGACTCGTATTTCCCCTTACTAAAAATTAATAATTAACATCATTTACAAATTATACTCAATGTTATTTTACGCTCTATTTATCTTGCTCTAGTTTGTTATAGACAACTGAACATTCTTGTTTCATTGTAATATTTAATTATTGATTATGAACTGTTAAATATTCTGAAGGCACTTTTTCACTTAATCCATTGGTATATTTAAATTTATCATCATATCTTGTTTTGTAATGTGATCGTAACAGTTTACAAATTTGTTTATGATTTCACAGAATTATCCTCAATTAAGTTGGATGGGTTATTAAGAGACTAGTTCAAATCGAAGATAGTTTTTTATTTGTGTCATGAATTGATATTAACTGGAAAATGATTGTAATCAAATTGTTCAGTGCTCTTAGTAGTATACAACATTTCTTCACTTGATATCGGTCCGTGATGATAACTAAATTCAACTAAATAGATAATTATTAAAAACACTGAATTAATTCATAATTGCAGGCTTAGTTGTAATAGGCTTTCAAATGGATTTTTCTAAAGTTTAATTAAAAGTCATAATTAACAGTAATTTTAAGAATGAGGCTTTAACTCATCAAGGACATCAGAAGAGTATTATGCTATGATTGAAGTTATTAATATGAACTATTCAATTCCTAATTATTGGTCTAGATATACTGTGTACCCAACACTACCTGGAAATGCCCACTTATATCTTTCACGTCAGGTTCACAGTGTGCACTATTAATTAGCTCGTCCTAAATTAGAATGATACAGTTAGTTGACCAGCATTTCCTAGTAGCAGTAGATGATGCTCCATGTGATATTAATTATTTATCAAAATTACCCCATAAAATCCCTACAAAACCACTTCATAATTATTATGATAATGAATTCAGGTTTTCTGTTACTCTGTTTTTTTTTTATAGAATCTTGTAATGATGATTCGTAAACATATCATTTAATTCAATTGTATATACATTTAGACAGTAACATTTCTGTTTAGTATTTTTGTTGTTAATCGACGGAGTAATTCTTGTTCCATACATAAAATTTAGTCTTTTTATTCTTGAAAATATCTACAGTCACTGTTTCACATTCAACAAAATTAGAGGTTTGAACAAAATGAAATTAGTATTTTCAACTTGAATTAGATGTTTACTAAATAGTTTTAGTTGTTAAAAGAAAAGGGATATGTTAAAAGTATCCTAGTTCCTACTTTTGTTAAGAACTGATTTCCCTTTAAGAAAACAAATTATGTGTGAATAAAAGACTCATTTTATGTGATTCTCCAAGTTTTATTTCAAACGCATATTTATTTCATTTTGTTTAATAGTTCGATTGCACGACAGTGTACTCGCTTTTCATACACATGGTTTGAGGGGTATCGATTTCTTCGGTAGGGTAAGTATTTCTACTCTTTAGATCTAATAATAATTAATTTCCGCAAATTCTTAAGCAAAAATATTTTACTCATGATATGATAGTTTAAAGATAGTCTCAGTGGCAGTAATTGGTTATAGATTATTATACGGAGATTGACTTAAATGTTTATGGGCGACCCAAGTATATTAAGAAATTTAATGATAATATTGTTCCCTAAGTTTAATTTGTTTATTAGTCGTGATAGCCTTTTCATTTTGAGCACGAGATGTGATAATGCAACCCAACGGTCACTTACAAGCTCATGTACTAGATTTTCTCACATTTACCTACAGTGTGTGAGGGTGTATCGCTACTACTATCTGATTGGGTGCGAACTGTTGTATATCGTCTGTTTAATCTATTAGACCACAATACTGTCTTATTTATTTAACTGCGGAGCTTGAACAAAACGACCTGGTTTAAATGGATGTCTAGCTAAAACTATGAAGAAGATCTGTTGCATTATGATTCTAGTGAACTTGTATTACATACATGCTCCAATAAATCCTGTTTAGGAACATCGTTAATATCACACACCCAATGCATACAAAGATCTTTCTTCTTAATAGAAACTGACGCATTCTTCTATCAAAAAAGTAAGGTACTACTTTAGCGATTAGAAATTGTCATTCATTTGTCTGTATTTCCATTATCCATAATATGTGCATCACCTCATCAGAAAGTACAAAATATTTCCCACAAAATTACCCATGTTTCTGTATATATTGAGCCCAATGCTACCCAAATTACTAGCAGTTATTCATAAATATCTGTATTTTATAATTAATTAAGCACATTGACACTTGATAACTGGTATGAAGAAAATACGTATGATAGTTCAGCTAGATGGTTTCAAAAGAAACTATTGGTCAGTAGCCTCAACCTCTTAAACACAATATCATCCTAAAAAGATCAATAGTCCTAATTAATAACTGATATCTAATAAATTCTTTTATTTGACGTACAAAATATTGTAACCATCATGTTTTTAATGGATTTTTAGGTTACACAAGATATTGATGACGATAAACATGTATATCGACTATTAGGAAGTGACCGGTAAGCCAATGATTGGTAAACATTCCTAATTTTTTTGACATTGATAATATTACTATCCTAATATATAGAGAGAAATTCATTTACTAACAAGCATTTAGGAAGATTTCATGATAATAGGTAATCCAGAAACATTAGTTTTGATACTGTTTGGGAGAGTTTGAAAAAAGTTGTGTAGATTTTCACCAGTTATTTCATTATTCATCTTTGCCTTTTTGGTAATTGAGCCAACCATATACAATACGTCGCCTATGAATCGAAGCCAGTAACCATCCCATTGTCTCATATTTTATTTATTATTACTTTTTTCATATTGATTTTGTTTCTATCCGACTAGGAACATCGTTGTTGAGAGTAGGCCAAGTGATAATCCAATGTCTAATTCAAACCTCCTTATTTTGGTTGGACATGAAGACTCATCCTGATTCATAATTATTAGTTTTATTATCATTTCGAGGCAAAATACGAATTGTTTGCATACCTGAAAACTGTTCAAATAACTCATTTATTCTATCCTCAATTGATCACAACAAAAGTATTGAATATATTATTTCATCGAGTTGGAAATTCCTATTCTATTCGTTTTTGTAATTGACGATTTATGATATTATCTTTGTTATGAATTCAGAAAACAATACATACTCTATTTCTGTATGTCTGAAGGATGGCAAAAGTGTCTTCTGTAACGAACTGTGAACATTGTTTACTACTTGGTTTTACCATCATATTTTTTTGTTGAAACCTAATTTATTTCTTTACCTTTTCATTTCTTTTTTTAATAGAAAATATTTCTCTTGTTACCTATTTCTCTGGTCAATCATTATTTTATGAAATTTGTACAGTCTTAGTTTTATTTGTTCATTTCTGGTCGACATTATGCTCGCCCATGATCGGATTTATCTAACTAATACGTATGTTTTCGGAAGCTAATAACGAATATTGTTTCTGCAACTAATTCTAACTTTCTTGTAATATCATTTTTGAACAGTTCTGATGACAAGACTTCCACTGACTAATCCATTTATGGTTCAACTATTATACCGTATCGAGTAACCTAGAATACTAATCGATACTTCTTCAGTCGCCTCTGATAACTACTTGAACGTGAAGCCTAAATAACCTGTGATATGTGCATTTTTTTCTTCTCTAGGCACTTGATTCTAAATCCGTGTGTTACATAGAACCGAACATCGTTTTACACATCAAAGCATAATATCCACATGATATTAGCAACATTTATGTAATAGATTCATTTCATAGATTAGTATATGAACACTTATTTTCGTTACTCAGCTAAATTTTTACTCATCTTGACCTATATATAATACAAAGTGCTGTTGATAAGACTAAGTCTGGCCCTGTATTGCACGAGAATGGATATCATTTTTTTTTGTAACTTCATTCTTCTAGTCGATTCCATAAGAGACTAGTTCTTAACTGCAACAATAAGGAAAACACACCCAGCCATCTAGTATCTAACACCTTGCGTGATGGTTCAAATCAATTAATCCACATTAATTTCTGTATTTACTTATCATGATGCTATTACGAAGTTGATCCTTTAAGAGATATCAGAAATACCATAGAGAGCACAAATACTTTCTTCCTCGATTGGTGACACGCTTAAAAACTTAACCAATTTCGATTATTTGTGAGTCACTGTTAGAAACCGTGTTTTCTCAGGATGGATGATCCTCGATATATTTGAGACCATCTTCCTATTGAACCGTGATAAAAAAAGACTGACTTCACAACGGAGTCGAAATAATGGTAATGTAGATGATATTATGCAACTAAGCACAAAGAATATATTTTTGAAGCAGTGACTGATTAATAAAAAGTACAGAATAAAATTGAAACTCCGGATTTTTAGGGAAGCAAAATAAATGCATTTGTGCCACTGAGACCGATTTTAAGCTGTTACCTATCTAGTTACTTTACTCCTTGGAGGCTGGTCAGTCCCGATGCAACGTTTCAGATTGGAAGTTATGGAGACCTAAGGATATTTCTACTTCAAGTAGAAGCCTACCTGAAGTTTGTAATGTCAGTCAGAAGAACATTGAAAGCTCCACGACCAAACCACCTAGCTCAGAGAACAAAACTTCACCTAAGCCACCCACCTGATCTACGAATCTTCAACTCAATATTTCTACATTGTTGTCCAAGACGTTTGAGACGCTGTATTTTGTTAAAATCTTCACCAAACAGAAATAGGTCATTATTGAATTGTTTCTTAGAAAATGAGTAGAGTTTTAGTCCTGATACTTTCTGCAGATCAATGTCTGGATTGTTCGTGTGCTCCATATGTGTGTCGCCTGATAGGATATTGATCTCGAAATAGACATGAACTACGTATGACGAAATTACACAAAATGGAGGTACAGAGAGCTTTGATGAAAACCTCGAAGTTACCATATCTAATGATAATTTGTCGCAAGCTCCAAGCCGACAGATATCCAATGATTAACATTGCTACGATACCTGTTGCTTGACGAAGACGAGTTCCACAGCCTGTTCAAGGAATAACTCAGTAGGGTATCGGTAAATTGCCTATGTCCTAAAACCTACTGGAGGATAAGTATTTAATCTGATATATCGATGGTTCGCTGTTCCCGAGCCCCAATTAAGCGCTGACCAGTCGTGGGAAGTGATACCTTCAACACAAAGTTTGATGAGCAAACCACCCTGCTGTTTCCAACTTCCTTGGCTAAAACCCTAGAGTCTCTTTCCATTGATGTATGTTGTGTCTCCGAAACACGCATACAGGATTCCAGTGTGGTCATTCACTTGACCACACCTCGGCAAAACGGAGAGCCAACGAGATACACCCCCGTGTATCTGGTGACCCGATGGCCAGTTCTAGTGGACTGGCAGGTGTAGGCATAGCACTAAGCATGAGGGCGGAACAAGCACTGCTAGAGTGGATCCCCGTCAACAGTCGTCTATGTGCTGTTCGGCTAAACGGCTCCGTAAGAACTCGAAAGGATAGCGACACACGTCGTTGACTTTTCGTCGTTTCTGCCTACGCTCCCACCGACTGCAGGCCAGATGAAGTGAAAGATGAATTTTACAGAAAGCTATCTGAACTTCTTCAGAAAGCTAAACGTCCAGACATAATACTCGTAGCAGATGACCTTAATGCCCAGATAGGTAGATTAAACCAAACAGAAAGGCATTTAGGTGGGTATTTTAGTATACCGGCACAACGAACAGATAATGGTGATCGTCTGCTGCAACTGTGCTCAGACAATCGCTTATTTTTAGCAAACACAAATTTTAAGCATAAGGAGAGACATCGTCTAACGTGGCGACCGCCTGCACCAAACCAACGATGGACTCAAATAGACCATATTGCCATCAGTCATCGTTGGAGAGGGTCGGTACAAGATTGTCGCTCATTCTGGAGTACCTGCTTGGACTCCGACCACGCCCTAATACGGGCACGCATCTGCTTGCGCCTCACCGGACGTAAGAAAAGCCACATTAAAAAGACCCATTAGAACTGAGTTGAGTAAAGAGAAAACCAAAAATAGGTTCCAAGAACACCTGATGTCACGATTAGGTAGTTCTGAAGACGAGGCTGACCCAGATGTTGCTTGGAAAGACATACAAGCAGCTGTGGAAACAACAGTGACATCTATTAGTGACTTAAACCACAGAGTTACAAAGAACCAGTGGATTTCTTCAAAGTCTATCACACTGATGAATTCTCGCAAACTCGTCCCATCAGGTTCCGAACATGAAGAGCGACAACAAATTAGATCTAGGTTAAGAAAAAGTCTAAGAAACGACCGTGAGCAGTGGTGGGCAACGAAAGCAAAAGAGATGGAAAAGGCGGTGACTATAGGGAACACAAGACAGCTCTACAGACTAATAAAAGAAACTGGAATTAATAAGTCAAGTGTAAGTGAGATTATATCGGAAAAAGACGATACACTCATCTGCTCTCAGTCCAGACGTTTAGAACGATGGGCGGAACATTTCAGAGAACAGTTCAGCTGGCCTTCAGCTACTCTACAACTACCCTCCATTCCTAGACAGCGTGAATGGGACATTGAAGTAGGTCCCCAAACTCTCGCTGAAGTTCAAAAGGCTATAGTTAATCTGAAACGAGGAAGGGCAGCTGGTCCAGATGGATTGGCTCCAGAGGTCTTTAAGGATGGTGGTCCAAATTTTAGCGATTAGGTTGACTAATATTTTAGCTAAGATCTGGGAGTTAGACGTTATTCCATCTGATTGGTCGCATCACTTATCGTCCCAATATATAAGAGAGGGTTAAAATCATCCTGTGACAACCATAGAGGGATTAGTTTAACTAATATAGTATCTAAAATACTAGCCTCGACAATTATCAGACGCCTAACTAAGACTCGTAAACTGCAAACACGAGCGAATTAAGCTGGCTTCAGACCTGGTCGTGGCTGCATCGACCACGTACTCACCATTACTCAGGTTCTAGAACAGGCATACTTATCGGCGTCCGACAATGGTGGTCTTTCTCGACTTAAAAGCAGCATTTGACTCGGTAGATCGCGAGATTCTGTGGCAGTGTCTGTCATTGAAAGGCGTACCCCAGAAGTACATAAACCTTGTAAAGGCTCTTTACTCGAACACTACTAGTCGAGTCAGAGCTTATGGCGAGCTGTCATCTACTTTTGCAACCTCAAGTGGTGTACGTCAAGGCTTTCCACTTTTCCCATATTTTTGAAATGCACCATAGACCTAATGATGGAAATAACATTCTCGTCGGCTGAATTCTGGGGTATTGATCTCCTACCAGGAGGTCCACTTATCGACTTAGAATACGCAGATGACATAGTCCTGTTTGGTGAAGACGCTGATGAAATGCGCTTCTCTCCCTCTAAATGCAAGTTGTTGCTTCAGGACTGGTCTGCGTTAACACCTGAACTAAGGATAGGGAGTGAAGTAGTCGAACGCGTTGACAACTTCACTTATCTTGGAAGTCTGATCAGCCCTAATGGGTTGGTATCGGACGAAATCTCAGCACGGATTCGAAAAGCTCATTTGGCTTTTGCCAACTTGCGCCACCTATGGCGAAGGCGAGATATCCTCCTATCAATTATGGGACGAGTATACTGTGCAGCAGTCCGTTCTGTTTTAATTTACGGCAACGAAATATGGCCATTGAGAGTAGAAGACACTCGTAAGCTATTAGTATTTGACCACAGATGCCTTAGAAATATTGCTGGCGTCTACCGGGATCACCGGGTAAGTAATAGTGAGGTTAGACGCAGGGTATTAGGAAATGATGGTAAATAAGTTGATGAGGTTATGAATATTCATCTACTGAGACACATGCGCCACGTGCTACGTATGCCTGAACACCGATTACCACGACGTGCAATGCTAACCGGTGTTGGGGATGGTTGGAAGAAAGTTAGGGGCGGCCAAACCAAAACGTGGCATCAGTGCTTGAAGTCACTAACTTCTAGTCTGAGCCATGTTAGTAGATGCAGACTACTTGGTTGGGGGTCCGCGTGACTGTCGTAACCAATGGTTGGAGACTCTTGGTGACATGGCTCAGAATCGATCACAATGGCGTCGGTGTATACACTCCCTGTCTTCCCTTAAACTGAGAGATTAAAATCGCTCCATATATTTCTTTCTACGAACCAATTCTTTCTTCTTGTACTATATCTCTATATGCAATCTTTCTCTTATATATTACCACCTTTGACCTAATCCGGTGTTCATCTTGTTGTGCTGATGCGGTATGGCAACCTGGACCGATGCACATATGTGCCTGGTCCTACGTTGTAGCTGACTGACTGACTTCCAACTTTATAATAAGATGACTGTCCGTGAATGCAACTAACGGAGCGGGGCAAACTTTACGAGTGGTACATCACCAAATCATCATTATGACATAACATTTTTGTCAGTTTAAAACAAATTTTTGTTCTAAGGACCATTATCATTAACAATTTCTAATGAATAGTTTAAATCCGGACTGGTGATGAAATCAAACCACTGCAACGAACTGTAACTTTTACACAAACCAATTATTTCATATTGGAACGATGGTTCACAACCAAGTTGGATGCTTTTGGTGTTGTTTCTCAAGCTGGACAATTTAGTTCCAAAGCTTTCATTATCATCCTGAATGGCGTAACCAGCACCCACTTCATTTACATGTGAGCTTTTTAAAACAGTCCTTTCTTTTCGTGAGTTGCATACTAGTTGAATTGGTAAGCGGTAGCTCGCTTGTACCTCTTACATACTATTTGCAAGACTTAGGTACAAGAATAGTCCACTTTAGTTGTAAGCAGTGATAAGATCATTTGGAAGTATCATCACAGAGTAACGAGTTTCATGAGCCATACTTTAGATCATTCCGGGATATGTATATCGCTTTGAGACTAGGAAACATGTTATTTAGTATAACGGTCGATATCCATTCATTAAGACACGATCAAAAGTGTGCACAAGAATAAGAGTAACTACCAGAAGAGGTTACAATAATAACGACCAACGGATAAATCAATATTAAAAGAGCGAGCAGCAAAGTGGGGAATAGGGGTTTGAAATTTGATCAATTTACTGTTTATACATTTGCTTTCACGACTAATCAAGAAAGTAGTGCTTTAAACGTTCATCAAACACTGTAACCTCCCAAATTCCATAACAATTTACTTATTACTACTCCAATCGTGTTGTTTCATACATCTATTTTGAACAACAAAGTCAGTTGATCTGCTTAATAATGGAGTTCCACAGTAGTGAGGTTCAAAAACTGTCTTTCCACTTTGTTGATTAGAATTCCTTTTGATGAACATACAATCCATTCGCACCATAAATTGCATTTTCCACGCACATTGGGCACTCAGAAACATATGTGATTTAAAATACTGATCTGTATACTTTTTAAACGAATTCCGGATTAGAAACTACGATATTATGAGGGATTTGTACTTAAATACGATAACGCAATGGTTTGTCTGGTGATCCTGACTTTTCATCATAACGTTTAACGGCAGGCTACATGTTAATACAAACTAAGAGGTTTCTTATGTATGCTATGAATATTCGCAAAACGACCAATCATTGATTCATGGTTAATAAAATACCAGTAACAGCACCTAATAACTTCCCTAATTATGAACGAAAATATAGATATGTCAAACATATGATTAGTATTGTCATAACTTATGCCCCTGTCAACTATCACGTGACAAAACCGCCAATCAGAACGCCGACGTATATGAACTTGTCCATGTGCTAAAATAATGATGCATAAATGAGCAGGCCGTCTCTTATTTCCCTCGGGCTAGCATTTTTCCCCCTCATTGGTTGCTTCAGGACCGCAAAGCAATTAAACTTTAAACCCCCGAAAAACTTCATTCCCTCTTCTAATCATCGCCTTTATTGATGTAAGCTTTTCTGATATCATTCCAATTGGTCTACGTTCTTTTTCTTGTCCCTTTATCAGTGAACTACGATTATGAGGAAGCGCTTACTGCGCTAAGTTGTTGTCCAAAGTTCTAAAGTTTCTCAGTCATCCATATCGTATACAAATTTTCTTTTTATTCAAAAGATTGATGGTGAGACTATAATTTATAGTCTCGCCAATTAAATACATCACAATTTGTACGCACGTCCAGTTGTTGTTCACTAGCGGACGGTTATATGTTGCTGTTTATTGGATTTAAAAGAACCAAAGAGTATGTTTGGATTAGCGACGTATATTAAAATTTTCGAAATGTAACTGAGATATCCTTCTTTCGTTCTTGAACTGACACCTGTCAATTTGCGACTTAGGACTTCCAATGTTGCGAAGCCAATGTTTACTATTATATATGCTTGAAGTCAAAATGAAAAAAACTTACAATGCATCAACACTTACACTTGGGCCTTCGAATTCACCTACCACAGTACCACTTTCAGTATTCATAATCCAGCCGACAAGGCCATTTACCTTAGCGAATTCAGCCGCATACTGAGTTCAAATGATTACATTATCTAGTGACAAACCTTTCTAAAAAATACACCTGATGATGAATAAGTTGTTAGGAAACCTCCATACCTTGAACTTTACCATGAACTTCAAACGTACAACCACTTAAATCATCTTGCTTACCCGCCATCAGTGTTCGCCTTTGGAGATTTAGTAGCCGAAGGTCATTTGAAAAGAATAAACGCATGGAACTGTGTTACCCTTGATAATAATGGTCTCTCGTCTGGTCTAATTTTATTTATCTTTGTGTTGATCTATGGCTACCTGAAGGGAAAACACAACGCGCGTTATTCAAAATAAACATTTCGGGTGATTTTATCCGCAACGCAACCATGTAAGCCTAATCTATTGCCCAGTGTAATAACGGTTATGTCTACGTTCATGTAATCATAGAATTCGTCATTTTATAATCTATTTTTTGTTAAATAACTGGAGTGAGTTGTGAATTTTTCTCTGGTTGTAATTTTTATTCGCCACGTTCGACTGCGTTACACTGAACGTTCATGGCATGCTGAGATGATATCACAAGTCATAGTAAGCTTAATTACATCGTTGATTGTTTCCAAACAGACCGTCAGTATATAATTTTACTGAAGAAAGGTTTGTTGTGCTGTAAACTATGTTTTTATGAACAAGTGACTGTTGTCTCTCGTCTCAAAACAATATCCTTTGTCTTCTGCTAGGTAAGTTCAACCGGCCCATAGTTCGTGTTTTGGGTTTATCGGCTGGATTATGTACATTTAACTACTTTGAGTAACATGTCTGTGCAAATGAAATAATAATTATAACACTTGCATAGTTAAGTATTCTTGGTTGTCATATAACTCAGTTTAGTCTATAGAATTATATTATACTTAAGTATAGTGCTTGAAGCCTGTAACGAAAAATATCAGCTTAGTAAGTAGAGCTGCCTGTTTAAAAATAGGAAAAAATGTGCCTTTGATGCTGTTGCTGTCATACTTTATAAGATAGCCCCAAGCTCTCAACTTTGAGGAAATTATGAGGAATTCCCCAAAGTGAAGTGGCCTTCCTCAAAATTGGGGAAATCCCCATTTTTCAGGGAAATTTTGTGGTAAATCCCCAAAATATGCGTAGTTCATTACTCCAGAATAACATTTCATCACAATTGGACTATCAAACCTTAAAATGTTAAATTACAACTAAGAAATATTACCTTTAATAAAAAAATGACTTTTTGGTCACGAACAGTCTATCGAATCTGAGGTTTTGTTTTAATACGTCAAACAGACAAAAGACAATTATTCATCGGCTTTAAACCACTTTTTCAAATTTCCCACGCCATGCAGGTTATTTGTACTGTCTAGAACTTCAATTACTGTTTTTGTTCAGTCTAACTTAATTTAATTGTCTCATTCAGAATAATAATATACAGCTGGATAAGATTGTTAAAAGGCGGGCTCAAGCCATCAGAGACTTGAGGCTTATGGGCTGTCCCAGATCAACCTATTACAAAAGGTTGCGGAAGTTAAGAGCTGAATTCATAAAAAGAGTACCAGTTGACCCCGGTGACGAAGAGAACAACAATTCAGTCATCGTCACAGAAGTAGGGACCACCGCAGCTTTAGAGCAGTGTAACAATATAGTCTCAAATACAGCCACTGCTTCATGTAGTTACGTCCAGTGTTCTGATACTACAGCCGACTGTAGTCTAGCTTTATTTAGTATGTTTGTTGTTTATTCCTAGACCGTACATCTAGCACTGACCATATTTTAAGATCACTGTCACTAAACAATTTCCCCAGTAATAACATCGGTAGCAGGATAGCTAAGCGTATGAGCTTTTAGTTGCCTGCGAAACTGCAATATACAGTCCTAGAAGATGAGTGTTGTGTGTCTCAGTTAAGTACAGCCGGTTGTAGACAAATGTTAAGGATCTTTTTAACAACTGGGACTTTTAGTTTATCAGACACTAACTCTGCTTGTATGTCTCCCTGTAAAACCAGACGCAGATGCATGGGAATACTTAAATGAGAGTAAAATAACAAAAGCTGTGTGGTACGGTACTAAACCCATGTTATGCTTTGCACAAGTCATAGTAGCTGACCTGATCTAATATTCATGAACAGATGCATAAATTCTTTGCTAAAAAAACATGTAACCTGTCTATTTATCTATTCCACATTTCTGACTAAATTCACTACTATTTTTTCATCTAGAGTGCAACAGCAGTGAGCCGTCGTAGATCCTAAAAACTGTTTCGACCTTAGAACTATGGTCCTATGAAACTAATAACGGGAGACCCAACTAACAGCAGATTACATAAAAGATGCTGGACGTCCGTTTTAGTCTCACAACCACTTCCAGTATTTATTTGAGTTACTTCTTTTACCCTTTCGTGTGGAAAAAACAAAAAAGACTGCAGCTTAACATTACCAGCGCAACTTTTAAAAGGGAACCTGGTATAAGCATTTGATTGATATTCGATCGTTAATTAAAGTTGCTATGTAAATTTTTAAATCTAATGCTGTTTTGTTTTATCTAGCTAATCGTTATAAGAAACTTGTGAAACACGAGCCTCCCAGCACCGAGTTCACATGTAGTAAATTTAAGTACATATCTTCCTTACTTCCTTGGGAAACCTACAGAATCGTGTCCTCTCACAACTTATTCTAGCCACCATGAGTTGTCACGACAGTTGATGGATGGACACGCGTTACACATCCTAACCTCATAGTTTGTTGTTAAAATGGAACACCAGTAACTCAAAGGCACACTGTGTGGTACCGTACACTGGTCTACGCACTCAACTTTTTTATGAGAATATTACTAAAGTCTTGCTAAACATCCTGTGAACCCCCTATCTCCATCAAAACAAATAAGTCTGTATTTGCTGCACACAACAATTTTGTTTTCCAAAAGTAAGATGTAACAGTTAAAATTGGAGTAAAATGGCAGTTGTCCAAAAATCACTCGAATGTGAAAATGAAAATTTGCAGGTACTTTTCATCGCAAGGGTGAACGTACTAGGTACCGGTTGACATCACATCGTGAAAAAACACAAACTTGCGAGTCGTGAAATATAATCTATAAAAACGTGAGCTTAATAACAGTTAATCACCTTTTTACTCCCTGACCATGACCCACTGGCTCTCTTTTATGACCAAAACAGCAAACATACAGTACACACTGATAGCAGATTTCCGGCTTTTCAATGTTAAGCTTGCTTTAACGCACGACGCAATTAGTACAACCCTCCTATTACTGCTATATGACATATATTTTATAACAAACCCTCTGCAATAGATCGGTAGCATCTGTGACTTCGACCATCCCAAGCCCCCAACATTGGGGAAATCGCAAAGTGAAATAGCCTTCCCAAAGTCGGGAAATTTTGGGGGAAAACGCAAAATTTCCCCGAAATGGTGAAAAACTTTGGGGTTTTAATAAAAAGTGTACGCCCACTTCCTCAAAGTGTAATAAGATTCCGGGGAAATCTTGGGGTTTTGTGCCATTCCTCAAAGTTTACTATAGCGGCTTCCCCCAAATGGGTCGGATTTTCCCCAATATTTGGTCCTTTCGAAAACAATACTAATTTCCTCTACTGCTGGGCACTCAATATTAGTTTGACTCGCTGGTGGGATAGTGTTGTCCATAATACTGAAGAAAATTAAAAACCGGTGATCGTCTTCTTTCATTTTGCCGATAACATCATAATGGACAGTTGGGAACGAAAATGTGACAGTTTGAGTCACAGGTGGCAGCAACAATTATTTTAGCGAAAAAACGAACTTCGGCTTTGGATATCTAGAAAACAAGTCAAAACAAAACCGATTATCATTTTAAAACAGGAATAGCGAGCTTGCCTGGAGAAATACGTTGACTTCAGTAGCATCAGCAAAAACCCAGAAAACAAAGCTAAATCAGAAACACTTTGCTCCAACGTTTAGAATCTTACATTAACCTCTGCATTTTAGCACACTGAAATACTAAATTATATAGCCACACAAAAGAAATAGCGGAAAAAGCACAGAACGAAGAAAGCCAGTCGCCATTGCTTACGAAGATGTAGGATATAATAATTCCCGCTTCATTCTGACTGGTCGCTAAGCTGACTGCCACGTTTACGAAATCAAGCTGAGTTTAATTGCAGCCATAAATAATTTGGCAAAATAGCTTATGTTAGTTCGTGATGAAGACCCTAAATCTAATTTCTAACCTTAATCATCAGCTGCAAATTCTAATTCTTCACACAGGTTTATAACCCTCATTTGGTTCTGGTTATTAGGTGGAAACTCTCAAGATCGATCTGGCGTCGCTAAAATGTCGTCCATAAATCATAGTCTCACCGGTTTATTTGGTTAAAGTTTGAGATTTTTACATATCCATTTTGTGTTATTATTTTTAGTAAATTTTTAAGATGATCCGCCCTGCTCATACATGTAAACAGCCGTATCGTTTATTCCTTGTGGAAGAAGGAAGCAATGTGATGAATGTAATATGTGCTTCCATAAGATGTGTACCCTCTTAAGCCTCACAGCTTATAAAAGGTGCTCAAAGCCAACTCTCATTGGCTCTGTATGTTTTGTTCTTCGAGCAAAACATTGCTCATCCAAGAAGCAATTAGCCTCGTCGCAAGGGAGTAGGTATAATGTTATATGTTAGGGACCACTTTCGTGCATAATCGATCACATCGGAGGCGCACGTTAGTGATACATGTGATGTAGATCGTTGTACATTAGGTTTCGGATACTCAGCATACAATCTGTATCTGCTTCATCCCGTCAAAAAATATTTAGAGCCAATATTCTGGCAATCAGAGACTGTGCTATCTCGACAGACTGGTCGGTCGAGGCGGATGGACCGATCAAAGACGAAGGGGATAAGTTTGAGTCCACATTCCAGTCTGTATCATTACCGTTTATCCCATGGTCAACAAGTAAGCTATCACATTGCCCTCCATTGATTAACAAGGAATCTCGGAAGTTGTTGAAGCGTAGGAGATACTTCTGTGACCTATTCTTGTCTACAGGACACGCATCATTTAAGTGTGAATATCGAAAAATCCGGAATATATGAAAAAAGGTCATTGCCAAATCCCGTACTATTTACGAACGACAGTTGGCATATGATAGACCTACTTGTCCGAAACCATTTTTTTCGTATGTTAAACGGCGAATGAAACTTAGTGATGGTATTCCCCCGTTACTGTTACACGTAAAATTAGATTTAGTAGCTGAATCAGATCGAGCAAAATCTGAGGCCTTTTCAAACCATTGAAGCGAGGTCTACTCTACGTGTATTGTC